TTGAAAAACTGGGTGTATCACGTTGCTGGAAAAGCGATCTCTAGTTAAGGGCGGTTTGGTAGTAATAAGCTCTGGGCTTGTTTTTATGGCTCTGTCTCGTGCATTTTAATATATGGTACATGTGTGTACAACCCAACTGTGTGAGGTGACCAGCTTCTCTACTTAACTATTTTCCTGGAAGAAGGGGCCTGAACTTATGATTTTCATATGTCTTGAGAATATCCTGTTTATTTCTCTTCACACAATATGTTCAATAGATGCTGTTCCTTAGTGGCAGGATAATTTCTAACTGCATGCAGTAAATAGGACTTCCAAGGGTAGCCTCTCTACACATTCAAGTGGGTATTTGATAGTTAAAATGTAATCCACCAAAAACAAAAACCCCTTCCTATTATTCACTATATCGATTCACCCTAAGAAGTTGAGAATCACAAAGATGTTTTCAGGCTGAGTTAGCAAAGAACACAGTGAATCAAAAACAATGCCAGAGTGCTGAAATTGTGGCCAGATGTCAGGGCCAGCCCAGAAGTCTTACACAATCATAGAGGATGGAATACTCATCTTTGTAAGGCATTGAGTAGGCGTCTTCCCTGAGGGAGAGTTAGAATTCCCTGTCACATCTTCTCAGCTCTCTGGACCACAATAGAGGAAGGAACTCATCAATTACAAGGCACTCAGGTCCCAGCACATTTTCCAAAGCACTTCTTGTTTTCCAAGCCCCATATTCCCAGAACCAGCAAAATTTTACCTCTTATTGGAAGGTAGGAAAATTCAGAGAGTTGCAAGTGGAAATCTTTGGCCATTGAAAATGAGTAGAGGCTGATGGAGTCCAACCTTCCTAACAGGCAGCTGTGTGGAGAGCTCCCCAGCTCCTGCTTTGCTCCAAAGCAGCTGCCCCCTCTCCCAGATCCCCACCTTCAGGAAGCTGCTCCAGACAAGCAGATTACCTCAGAATTCACCGACGTTTCCATTCCTGTTTTCTCTTTTCTATCCTCAAAAGTTTCCATCTCATGATCATCATTCATCTAAACTGTCCTTAGGGAGGAAGGGGCAGTATGAAGCCAAAAGTCATTAAATTATGATAAGATGTTACTATTTGCCTAGCTCACTTAGGTGCATCTATGAAGATGACAAAAATTAGGCCAAAGGTGGTTTCTTTGTGAGATTAAGTGGAAAGAGCAAACATGATAGTTACATCATCTGAGAGGCAGCATAGGGCTTTGGCAGGCATTTGGAACCATGTGGAATGAAGAGTGTGAGTGAGGTGACCAGAGGATGATGTATTCTTTGCTTCCTCCAGATTTTGGTGACTGCCAGTATTTCTTGGTTTGTGGCTATTAGACTACATCTTCAAAGCCAGTATCTGCAAATCTCTCTCAGCTCCATCTTCACATTGCTTTCTCCTTTATGTGCCTAGAAAAGTGATCTCTGGTTAAGGTCAAATCATCAAGGCTTCCTCTTATAAAGACACATGTGATTGCATTTAGGAACCATCTGATAATCTAAGATAATCTCTGCATCTCAATATCCTTTGACTTAATCCCATCTGCAAAGATTCTATTTCAAATGAGCTAACATTTACAGATTCCAAAGATTAGAACCTGATGTCTTTGGGGGCCATTACTCAGCCAATTACAATCTCTTTTGCCTGTTTTCTGTCTGGATTGTTTGGGTTTTTTATTGTTAAAGTTTGAGAGTTCTTTATATAATAGTCTAGATACAAATCCTTTGCAAATACGTGGTTCACAAATATTTTCTCCTATTCTACAGCTGTCTTTTCAACCTCTTCACAGTGTTTTCTGCAGGACAAAGGTTTTCCATTGTGATGAGGTTCAATTTATCGTTTTATTTGTTTGTTTGTTTTTTATAGAACATGCTTTTAGTGTTAAGTCTACGAACTCTACCTAGTCCTTGGTTCTAAAGTTTTTCCCTAAGTAGCACCAGCCTGTTCCTAAAAGTTTTCCACTTTTATGTTTTATATTTTTTTCTAAAAGTATTATAGTTTTTTGATTTACATTTCCCGAAAAGTTTTATAGTTTTATGTTTTACATTTTATATTTCTATGTTTTATGGTTTTGTTTTATAGCTTTTCTAAAAGTTTTATATTTTACATTTTACAATTGAATCCATGTTTTTCCTGTTGTTTGCCATGATGAGCTTTATTACACAGTTACGAATCACTGAGTCCTGTCAATCTTAGTTGTCAATCAAGGAAGCCCACTTCTCTGCGAAAAGTACCCACCCACAGCAAATATGGATAAAAACCCCAAAGGCTTTGTTACTAGGCCTTTTGAACCACACTTCTCTTGCTCAGGGCTGCTTCCATGTCTGGAAGTGTACTTTCCCTTCTAATAAAACTTTTCTTTTCTGCTGTGTTTCGGTGTCTTGCTCAATTCTTTGCTCAATGTTCGAGACATCAAGAACCTGGACAACTTGCTGGAAGAGGATCCCCACTCTCTGGTAACACTGGGACAGGAAGCGTTGGAAGGCATTCTAGGCACTCGTAGGAGGAATAACCTAGACTGGAGGGATTAAGAAGATCGTCTGGGGCAGGCAGTACCTGAGCTGAGTGCTGAAGGCAGAGGAGATGCTAATCCAGTCAGGAAGACGGGGAAGGGCTTTCCTGGAGGAGGAGAAAACATGTACATGTGCTGGAGATATGAGAAAACATGCATGCTCTGGGAACAACCATTAATTCAGTTAATGGAGACAAGATTCAGAGCTGTAGGGACCCAAGCTAGAGACACCCAGAGTCAGCCCCTAAGAGGGGTTGTTTTTAACACTGAAGTTAATGAAGAACCCTGAAGGGGAGTGACTGATTACATTTAAGAAAGATTAACCTGGCAGCGATGTGGCAATCTACTGGAGGAGAGGAGTGGTCAGAGGCAGGGGGCAAATTAGGAGGCTATTGGAGTCATCAATAGTGAGATGTGAGAATTTACAGTCCAAGGCAGAGGAAGGTGGGATGTGGAGGAGGAAAGGGATTTTAGAGATGCACGAGGAAAAGTAGTCAGAACTTGGATGGGTGAAGGAAAGAGGAGCTCCTGGCTCAGACCCTGGGGATAGATGGAGGTGCCATATACTAAAACTGGGACCCAGAAGAGGAGAATTGCGGGGGGAGGGGGGTGAACTTAGGGAGTCTCAGCTGTGGACCCAATGGCTTCAAGATGCCTGAGCAGCACCCTAGTAGCATGTTGACTGGTTGAATACACAGCTGTAACAAGAGGACATTTCAAAATTTTAATTTTTTTTTTCTTCCTCTTCCCTAAACATTCTCACTATTCTTCTAGCCAATCAGCAGCATCCATATGGCCTTGAAGAGAATTTAAATGTAATAGCAGTAGAAAAGAGGGGCAGGGGAATAGTAATATTCTTTTTTCCCCTTTAAACTAGGCTCACGAAAGTCAAAAAGGGAGGCTCTGAAGGGAACAAAAGTTGGAGTTTATGGTCTAAAAAGGATGATGCAGATGTTCCTTTGGGCACAACCAGCCAAGAGTCAAATATAGAGTTTGGGGCTCTTTTGCTTAAGCCAAGTGATCCAGGCCATTGATATACTGAGAGAAATAACTGATTCAAGTTGGAAGCTGTTTCTCATGACAGTTGACTGATATGCAAGATTTTGAGGTGAATAATTATATTTCACTAACATTAAGTTTGTGAAGTTCAGATGCTTCTACAGATAATCTCTGGAGGTACTTTTATGGTTACAAGATGGAGAACAGAATAGTTATGAGTATAAGTCTTTACCCAAAGGCCTTCATTCTTGTAAATATTTGCTGCTTCGTCTTACACCTGTGTCAATATCCTCATCTCCCTAGAGTTTCTTTTCACAAGCAGTGGTTAATTAAGAAGCTCTTGGTTTCTTGCTTTAGGTAGGATTTTAGTAGCCAGTAAGAATAAAAAACAAAGGGCTTGGAAAACGTAGGACTTAATAAAAAGTATAGAAAATTATAAATAGTCTTTTAAAAGATGCCAAGGTCTACATTATGCCTCCACACGTACAAAAAAAAAAAAATTAGGCTGAGAATAGAGGGAAGGTGTAACACGACCATCTATGTTTAGGAGAGGGTGACCAAAAATGGGAAGGCCCTGGGGGTAGAGGAGTAGGAGTATGTGTGTGTGTAAGAGTGTGTAAGATGAAAGAGATTTTGAACACAATTGTAAAAGTCTAAACTGAACATAGCTTTAAATACCATTTATTAGCCCTGCAAATTAATTAACCTCTCGGCGCCATAGTTTCCTCAATTGAAAAATAGGGAATATGAACATAGTAACCCACATAAAGTCTTAAAAAAAAATTTTTTATATTTTGTGTGTGTGTGTGTGTGTGTGTGTGTGTGTGTGTGTGTGTGTGTGTGTGTGTGTATTCTTTTCTTAGGCCATGTCTCCATCCCTCCCCCCTCCATCCACCCAAAAGATTCTAAGCTCCTTCTGGGTGGGAGTTTTGTGATTTTTTGTGATCTCAGCGTCTCTTGCATTGACTACTATAGTACAGTAGGCTTTCAGTCGACACCTGGAACATAGTAAGTGATCTATAAATATTTTTGAATAAACGAACAATTGTTGAACTGAACGTGGTAACTATAAGAGCAAAATTTCTAAATATCCATTTTTCTTCTCGGCTAAAAATGATCATTACTCTAGGTTAATGCCTTTTCAGTTATAGTGTTTCAAAGCCAAATAAATCTGTAATAAAAATTATATAATAATTACTCCACATTCTGAGCTCAGTGTTTGTAATTGGGGAGAATTTCAGTCTTAAATACAGGAAATACAGGCATATATATTTTTTTGTTCCTCTGAAGTGTTGACAGTGGCTATAAGTCAGTTTGTCTTTTTAGGCGCTTCTCTTTCTTCCCCGCGCCCCTCCTGCCCCCCGCCCCAAACATCCCCGCTTGGCAGTAAAATGGGATCCGGAAAGACCAAAAAGAACAGGAACGGGTGATACGGCTAGTTATGTCCTTCGCGACACCCCGTAGTCTGCGGCCGACGCAGGAACGACGCGCGTGCATTTGAAAGCAAGGAGCGTTCCAGGCTCAGCGACTGTTGTTGAGTGTTGGCCCGTTGGGCGCTGAGGCGGGGGTGGGGTCGCACAAGGGGCCACTGGAGACCAGACTTCAAGACTGCCTTGGCCTGGACCGCTCGTCATTCCGGTCTTTACCTACCTGGTGTGCGACTGCGCCGGGCCGGTCGGGTAAGGGGAGCTTTTTTCCTCGGCTGCTGACCGCGCGCGGGCCTGGGTGGGGGTCGGGCGCCCAGCCGCGGCCGAGGCCTCTGAGTTTGCTTTCGTAACAGCTCAAGGCCTAGAAGGAAAGTTGAAGACTTTGGGGACATGGGGTTAAACTAGGAGTTCTTTTAGAAATCATCTTTGCGACCCAAACCCGAGTGCGCATCTGAACCTCGAGGTAGGCTGGAGATTTCAAAAAAACTGCCTTTTCTCGAAGCGAGGCCTCGCAGTCTGTACTTTCTACGGAAGCTCCATAGTAGAATATGACGGTTAGAACCACTGATCTAGCAAACTGCCGTTGTTTACAAAATGTTGCTGTTGGATACTGGATAACCCGAGTCTGCTTGAGGCGAAACCCCAGTTTTTAGGCACATCATAATTATGCGCCAGATGCGAACACTGGGGCTTTTGCCTGGGGCTTGTACCTGGTGGAAACGGTTCATTACCTCAACCGAGCCAACTTTTAGGGGAGGCTAAAACAGGCGAAGGATTTCTGGTGGAATGGAGGGAGTCGGGGGTTGAGAAAGGAGTGAAAAGCTCAGTTCTCTACTTTGAACTGCTCAAGTAATGTTGCTTCCAGTGTTTGGGTGAGCTGACAGCAGGTGGAAGGATTTTAACATGAGCCTTCTGAACTCCTGGATTAGGGTTGGTTGGTTTGTTTGTTTTTAACCTAGTGCACATGTTACTTTTTAACACACACAAAAAAACCCCAGTTACTAATAGTATGACTTTGGGTAAGTAATTGTACGTCTTTGGATTTCATTATTCTCATTGTTAATAAAATTGGACTAATTATTTGTCGTGGTCTTTTCCAGTTCTCAAATTTTATGTTTATATGAAAAAATGAGTGATATAGTATGTAGGAACTTTTTCCTTATGAATGAGAGCTGTAGTCTTTATAACTGCTGTGTAACTTTTCAATTTGTTTTTGTCGTAGGACCTGTAGTGATTACTGCAATGGAAGGAATCAATAATTTCAAGACACCAAACAAATTATCTGAAAAAAAGAAATCTGGTAAGATAAATATAAAACCTTTCTTCATTGTTATTGCTATTAGAAATTCTTAGTATTGTTGTAGTTTGATGCTTTATTATCTACCATACACAATTTTAGCATAATTCCTCTTTATGATGTTGATCTTAACAAATAGGACTTATTTTATAGGCCGGGATATGGTCATCTGTGAGCTAATTTTATTGACAATAGTAGATTTGGAGATTCTCCCTGGTGAAGAATCAACTTAACTTGAACCATTAAGGAACTACTTACTTTCCCCCTCTCAAACATGCATTGCTCTTGTGAGGGAAATATATTAACAGTTAGATATGAATATGCAAGATGACCCTTAGTGCAGAGCATATACAAAGATGGTCAAAATTATGAAATGTTTAGAAGATAACGTAGAAGAAAATCTTGTTCATTTTTAGTATATAGATTTTTGTATCTTGATCTTGTATCCTGCAATGAAATGTTTAGAAGATAACGTAGAAAAAAACCTTGTTCATTTTTAGTATATAGATTTTTGTATCTTGATTTTGTATCCTGCAACGAAATGTCTAGAAGATAATGTAGAAGAAAATCTTGTTCATTTCTGGTATATAAATTTTTGTATCTTGATCCTATATCCTGCAACCATGCTAAGCTTGCTTATTCTAGTAGCTTTTTAATAGATTGCTTAAGGTATTGTACATTATACAGAGTTTGTAATGTAGGTGAACAAAGACAGTTTTACTTTTTTCCCCTAGTCTATATTACTTTTTCTTTCCTGTGGCACTAGCTCCAGTATATTTTTGAGTAGAAGAGGTGTGAGTAGACTTACTTGTCTTGTTCACAATAATGTATTGTATTAGATATAGGGCTTTTTTTTTGTTTTTGTTTTTGTTTTGTAATAGACTATTTTTAGAGCAGTTTTAGATTCACAGCAGAATTGAGCAGCATACAGAGATTTCCCATACAACCCCTGCCCTCACACAGACATATCAACATCCCCATAGAGTAGATGTAGGTTTTTCACAGATGTCCTTTATCAGGTTGAGGAATTTCCCTTTTCTTGATAATCATGAATGGGTGTTGAACTTTGTCAAAAGCTTTTCAGAATCTATTGAGGTAAAGTTTTCTTTTTCAGCCTGTTGCTATGGTAAATTATGTTAATTTTCAAATGTTAAACCAACTTTTTATTTCTGGGGTAAAAGCCAATTTAGTTGTGATGGATTTTATGAATTGCTTGATTTAATTTGTTGATATTTTCTCTGTTCATGAGGAATATTGCTGTCTTTTTAAAAAGTTATTATTTGGAATGTGTCTAGTTTTGGTAACAGAGTATTCTGTATTCATAAAATAATGTGGAAAGTGTTTCCTCTCTTGATGAGTATATGTAGAATTGATAGCATTTCTTCCTTAACAAGTAGAATTCACCAGTAAAGCCATGTGGGCCTGGAGTTTTCTTAGTAGGAAGTTTTTAACCATAACTTAACAGTTAATAGGTATTGGGTTATTCATATTATCTGTTTCTTCTCGTGTAAGCTTCGTTAGTGCTTTTTAAGGAATGTGTCCTGTGCTTCGAAGTTGTCAAATTTACTGGCATAAAGTTATTTATTTTATACTCCTATTACCCTTCTAGTGTCAGTAGGATCTGTGGTGTTATCGCCTTTTTGATTTCTGGTACTGGTATTTTATATTTTTCTTTCTTCTTAGATCAATCCGACTTGATAAATTTATCTTGTGAACGATTTCATACACTTGAGAAGATCATATTTTCTGCTGTTTCTAAGTACTGATAAGTACTTAGCCAGATGCTAAGGGCGATCTCCTTTCAGATCTCTGGAGCATTCTCTCTCACTCTGTGGCTTCCTTTTTAGTTCTGTGCTCCACAGATTCTAACTACTTAGGTCTCCTGACCTCTGATCCTCTGTCTTCTCAATTTCATAAGACCTCTGGGCTATGTTTCTTTGTTCTATTGCTTGGAAACTGTCTTCAAGTGGTAAGTTAGGGCAATGATAGGGCTCACTTCATTTGTTTCTCTTCTCCCAAAGATCACACCCTGCTGTGCCTATTGTCAAGTATCTGAAAACCATTATATTTTATCAAGTTTTCTAGATGGCAATTCCAGGAGCAGTTAATTATTTGTTAGCAAAAGTAGAACCCCTCTGTCTCATTTTTTTTAAATGGTCCGTAATATAGATATACTATAATTGTGACTAGTGATGATTACTTAGGTTTTTTGTTTTCTGCAGTAGCAGAAGTGAATCTCAATATTCACATATATATGCATGTATCCATGTGCATTTATGATGTTTTTGGGCACATGCCGTACTATAGGCATCAGCATACTTTTTGTAAAGGGTCAGATAGTAAATAGTATAGGCTTTGTGGGCCACATGGGGACACTGTTGCATATTCCTTTTATCTATTTTTTTACCAACCCTTTAAAAAAGCAATTCTTAGTTCGAGGACCATACTAAAAACCCCTGCTTTAGTGTTACTGTAAGATAGAGCTCCAAAAGTAGACTTGGTCAAAGGGTATCTATTTAAAATTAGGATAGTGTCAAATTGCTCTCCAAAAGATTATGCCAGTTAATACTCTTAGTGATAGTATGTTGAGAATGTTAGAATGCATTTGTAGAGGTCTTCTCAAATACTAATTTTTTATTTTTCTTTCTGACCTTTAGCATTATGTTCAACTCCATGTTTGAATATTCCTGCCTCTCCATTTATGCAGAAGCTTGGCTTTGGCACAGGGGTAAATGTCTACCTTATGAAAAGGTAAGTATAAGACTTCAGGTTAACCTTTTTACATGGAACTGTAATTCCTCTGGACTTGTAGACAAAAAAGAATATGAATATTTGAATATTTAAATTTTCCTGATCCTACCTGGCTGCTATATTCCAGTCCTAGAACCTTTTATAACTTTACCATAGCTCTTCCTGGTATACTTTTCTCCTAGGTTCCTCCTGATAGATTATTAAAGGAGCAGTAATTTACCTTATCATTTTTTCCTTGGCTTGTATGGGAAGAGAAAGGGGTTCCTGTGTGGTAATGATGCAGGATTCTCAATAAGAAAACCTCAAGGAGGACTCCAGTTGGGGGATATCAGTGACTGTTAATCCCTTTTATTTGGAAAGTTGCCCTCTCAAGATACTCTCTACTGAAAGAAGTAAAGTTTTCATTTATATGTCATCATTAAATAAGAAAGGTAAATACATGCTTTTAAAGTAGGAAAATTGTATTAAAAATGAAATAGAATCGATGCTAAATATTGTCAACAGACACCTTTTTTAAAAAGTTGGTTTTTTTACTCATTACTTGTACCTAGTTTCATGTTAATTAAGTGGCAAACATCTAAGTCAGTATGTATTCCTTAACGCATTCTTGGAATCTAGTCCAACACAGGATGTTATGTTGATGTTGTTTCTTCAGAAATGCTTTCTTTAATAAAAAGCTAATGAATTGAAAATAGCATAGCAATTATATGTAAGTAGGTAGTTTCTGAAGCATTTAAACACCACTTTGTATATTTGTATGCTATTTGTAAACATTCTTTTTTAGAGTCTAAAAACTTGTCTAAGTTATTTTGAAAGAAGGAAATTTCTCACAGGTTCATGGCTAGTCTCATTTTTTTTCCTTTCTTAAATATTTTTAAATGTAAAGTGTGTTGTTAACAAAATTAAACTGTATGTAACTTAATCAAAAGCTTCATACGGCTGATATTGAAAAATAGCAGTTCCTGCCTGATTGTACCACTCCTTGTGATGTGGCCCGGTTAGCCTGGAGTTTTCCTCTCCTGGTAATCTGGAGATTTCCTTCGCTTCTCTGGCGAATTGGATCCTCTGTTTTTCTGTTCCTCATGTCTTCCTATTTCTTAGTTTACGTCTTTTGTTTGAGGATATCTGGTAGCTCTCCATAAAAAGGTGCACAGGAGATAGTTTTGAGAATTTGCATTTCTGAAAATGTTTACATTTTACCCTCATACTTGAATGGCCCTTTTTGTTGTTTCTGAGTTAGAATTCTTGTTTGGAAATAATACGACTCCAGAAGTTTGAGGATGTTGTTCCGTGGATAGCTTGCAGTGTTGCTGCCTTAATTCTGAAACCTTTCTGATTGCTGATTCTGTTTATGGAACCTGTTTTATGTGATCTGTTCCTCTCATTCTCCTAAGACCTTATATGGTCTTCCGTTTGTCACTAGTGTTCTGAAATTTCACAGTGACATGGATGAGTGTGGGCCTCTTGGATTCTGAAAATTCATGTTCTTAAATTTTTGAGAAATTATTTTAAAAATACTTTGTTGATTATTGTTACTCATTTTTCTGTTCTTTATTTGGAGCTCCTATTATTTGGGTGTTGAACTTACTGAACTGATCTCTAATGTCCTTTTTTTTTTTGCCTGATTTTCCTATTTTCTCTGTCTCTGCTCTGTTTTCTGGGAGGTTTTTTTCAAACTTCACCTTTTGATACTTTGTGTGTTTCATTTTTGTCTATCTTGTTTTTAAATATCTGAAGGTTTTCTTTTTTTAAATGCCATCCTTAGTCTTTTGCGGATGCTAGAAATGTTCTATATCGTGATCTGGACAGTGATAACACAGGTATATATGCATGTGAAAACTCATGAGTATTTAGTATGCATAGGGTCATGAATTACTGTGTTCCTGTATGGTTCACAGGTATTCAGCTATGCCAGTAAACCTCAAGCTAAAGACCCTCTGCTTTAGCCCCTTATGGAGCCAGTTTCCAGTCTTGAGAAGCTAGGTGCTACGAAATTGGCCACTGTTTAGTGATATAGAAATGGGGAGGGTATCTAAGAATCCACCTGCTTTTTTGAATAACTTTCAGTAAGTTCAATGAGCCTGTTACTGTTAAGTCATTTACTTACATCTGCTTTCCAGCTTCCAAAAGTTGTCTTTTTTTCATTATTTCCATCCTTGGTGGTGGATGTATGTCTTAAAATACCCATTTATGTCTATTTTCATGAGACTTGAGAGGGACCAAAATTATATGTGTATCTTTAAACTTTCATGTTAATCTAAAAGTCTATATTTTTAATGTTAAATCAAGTGTGCATCCCCAGAGTAAACCTAGCATAGTTTCAAAGTATTTTTTTTTTAAATATTGATAGATGTAATTTGCTATTTATGTATCTATAATATAACTGAAATTGGCTTATGATTTTCCTTTTTCTGCTGTACCTATTTGATTTTTTATTAAGGTTATACCAGACTCATATTCTTTCTATTCTCTGGAACAGTTTGTATAAGATTGAATGGTAGGTTTCTTGAAAGTTTAGTAAATTTACCTGTAAAGTTATCTAGGTTTTGTATTTCTTGTGGGAAGATTTTAAACTCTGAAATTTCTTCTTTCATCAGTTTTCTTAGTTTTTTTAAAGAATTTGACCATTTGGTCTTTTAAATTTATTGGTATAAAAGTTTTAGTATTAAAAAAACATTTACACTTCAAATATTTTTAAGATGGCTGAATCTTACTAGAAAGTAGACAACTTACATTTTTTTCTCATTTGTATGTTTATTATTATTGCCTTAAGCGCATTGTCTTTGAGTATATGGTGAAAGGTATAAAATGAATTGGTTAGTGTAGAGGTGTTATATTTGTTGTTGAAGAAGTCTTCCATTCTTTGGATGTATATGGACCAAATGTTTTTTGTACATCTCTTTTTTAAATTGTTTCTTAGAAATTAGTATTTATTACTTTACCATTCCAGAACTCATATCTGCTACATATAGTTAAGTGCTTGATGAGTAGTTAGTAGTCTGATATGCTTGAATGGAAAAATTAGAAAATAGTAATTTTGAAGTTTAAAATTTGTAACATTCCATCTTTTTCCTTCTAGTGCTCTTTTTATCTCCTTTCTAGCAATAGATACAGACTTCTCTTGTAATCAATAGATATATCAGTTATTTATCTCCTAATTAAAAAGGAAATGTAGCAGAAGTGTAGTATAATTTAAAAAAAAAACAAATTACTGTTATCTTTTTTAAAATTTGGAAGTTCTTTTTAGTCATTTGAAATATATTATGGTTTTTAATCTTTCAATACATTTTATGATTAATTTTTTTAAAGATCTCCAAGAGGCTTGTCTCATTCTCCTTGGGCTGTGAAAAAGATTAATTCTAAATGTAATGGTCATTATCAAAGTATGTATCAAAAGAGACTGACTGATGAAGCTAAGATTTTGAAAAGCCTTCACCATCCAAATATTGTGGGTAAGTTTAAATTTATGTGGTAGCAGTATTTGATAGAATAGTATTCTGTTTATCCAGAACCAGTTTATATAATCTCTTATATAGTTAATTTCACTAATAAAAATTGAGGAAGATGGTGGTAGAGTTTGGTAAGAATCAAATTAATGCGAACATTCTAAATTTGTTGTATAATATTTTTAGATGCTCAAGTATGTATTTAAAACTTCATGAGAATAGATACAGTCATTATGGTGCTGGTACTATGGAGATTTCAGGAATATAAAGTGATCTTCATTTAGATAAGTAGTGCTGGTGAAGCATTATATTTAGAATGCAGAAAATATTTTAAAATATTTTAATTTGTGATACTATTTGCAAACACTGAAGGCATTTTAAATTAGATCGACTGAATTCATTTTGTAAATAATAGCTGTTTTCATCATATCTTCGTCAGTGTTAATTAACATCTGTTTTTAATCACATTACTGTAAAAAACAAATATTACTGTTGTTCTTCCCTATCATAATAAGAAAATGTTATGTTTCTTTAAGGTTATCGTGCTTTCACTGAAGCCAGTGATGGTAGTCTATGTCTTGCTATGGAATATGGGGGTGAAAAGTCCCTAAACGACTTAATAGAAGAACGAAATAAAGACAGCCAAGGTCCTTTTCCAGCAGCCATAATTGTAAAAGTTGCTTTAAACATGGCAAGAGGGTTAAAGGTAACTATGCCATTATATTTTAAATGATTTGTGGAACATTAAGAAGCTAAATATGTACCTAATTACAATGTAGGATTTTTTTTCCTTGAAAGACAGGGTTGCCTTAAGTTAAAGTTAGTTGCCTTATAGAATCTCACTGCAGTGCACTATTTCCTTATTATGATCAGCAAAGTATTGTTTGAGGCCTTCACATAGCCTCAGATAACCCAAGTCAGGTAATTTTGCTTATAGAGATCACATGTTAGATTTAGTTACAAAGATTAATAAATTTAACACAAATTTAGTAATTATTCCTGAGAGTATAGCCTAACCCCTATTGATTGTAAATAGCCTCTTAAATATTGCTTTGGTGGGTAATAAGTTTTGGATATCGTGAGTCTACATCTATAGGTCAAATGAGAAAAACCCTCTCAATGTTGTACAAATAAATGATCATGCCTTTGGATAGATACAGTGTAAGAAGTAAAAAGAATTCTGTATCCTAATTAATTGAAACAGAAGTAATGATAGCTCCAGAAAACTGTTGGATGACTCAGAAGTGAGTCATGGTAATCATACAGATGTCAAAGTTGCATGTTAAGAATTGAAATAAAATTGATTCATGAAATGTGAGACTAGAAAAAAAGCAGTATTTTTATATATGTATATTTTAATACATGTATAGAAAACCCAATTTTAACTGGATAGGACAAACTAATAATTTGAATTATTTAATAAGTAATGATTTTAAATGTTTGTGTATAATGGGATTAATATAAATATATTTGAGTATATTAAATTTGATGGTCAACATTTAAAGCATGATGAGTGTTTCAAGTTATAAACCAAGATTTGTCTCTATCATTTTCAAGCCCAAGCACAAAGTACTTGCTCAAATGCTGATAAATAAACATGTAACAGTTTTGTAGGACATTTTTTATTATGTGTAGATATCATTAGTTGTCCATTCTAAGAAAGGGTTAATGTGTGAAACAAAATATTGTCTTAGATTACATTCTGCTTCCTCCTCTGCTTGTGAATAATGTGTAGCCCTAAGTCTTCTGTTGTTATGTTGTTATGCTGTTATCTCAGCAATTCATTTGAAGAAAAGATGCGTCATTGTGAAGATTCCAAAATTGTTTCTAAAAATTGCTAGCGTCAAGTAAAATTGTGATATATTTTGAAGTCTGCAGTAGCATCTTTTCATCTAAAAGTATGTGAGATAGGTTTGAAAATTAAAAGTTAGCTTACCTTTAGACATTGATTTCCAAAGAATCCTTTAGTTTTCTGGTCAGAATGGCAGATCAAGATAACATGGGATGTTCCCTTTGCAAGCTTCAAATAATTTGAAATGATGGGCAGGTAAAATCTTGTAGTTTAGGAAGGGAGTTCACGTTGTGACTTTTTGTTTGAAGGTTATATATATCTTTTATTAGTTTGTATTTTTGCTCAGGTGTGTTAAATTTTCCACTATTTTAGTATCTCCACCAAGAAAAGAAACTGCTTCATGGAGACATAAAGTCTTCAAATGTTGTAATTAAAGGTAATTTTGAAACAATTAAAATCTGTGATGTTGGAGTATCTCTACCATTGGATGAAAATATGACTGGTAAGTCTAATTTTTTAAATTTGTTTTTGTATAACTTTTAAATTTCTAATTTTTACATATTTAAATAGGTAGTAAGTTAACATTCTTCAAAAATCAAAAACTATTTATCAACAGATACACAATAAAAAGTATCCCCTCAGCCTCTAGCCTCCTTTCTTGCTACACACACAATATAAATTGTTTTCTTATTAATACATATTTTAACCGAAGATAACTTTGGGAACTATTTCTAACCTAGATTGGGATTTTTAAGTGGTAGAAGATCTGGGAATAGAAAATAAAATTGTAATTAGGTTTTATAAAGGAATTCATTTAGCATCAGCTTAGTGACAAGGTTTGGTAACCTGATAGAAGAAACTGGAGTAGAACTAAGAAAGAGGATTGCTAGTAAAGGCCAGTCTTCTGTTTTTCTTTTTTTTACTTCTTGGCTCACCCCATCTCATTCTTCTCTTTTTATTGTAAACATTGATCATTCTCTTAGGAATTTTAAGATATGTTTTTTGTGAGAACCAAGAGCCAGCCTCAAAGAGAAAGCTTCTGCTTTCAACATACTTAATAAATCACATTTAAATTTGCCTTCTTATATGAGTATAAGGTAAAGCAAATGAATGAATGAATTAGAAAAATCAATGAATACTACAATATCCCAGTATGATCTGTTTTATTTTAGAACATGTCAAAGTGAATGTAAAATTCATCCTTGAGGATACATTTTCAAACATAGCTAGGAAAGCTTTATGAAAGAATGTTGAGTAGGAATTTTCCCGACCAGACATTAAGAAGTATTATAAAGCTATAGTAATTAAAGCAGTGATATTCATGCCAAAATAGAATCAAAAAGTAGTCTGAAATATATGTCATTTGTTATATGGTAGAGGTGACATTTTTGAATCAATAAGAAAGTAGTTGAGTCAAATGATGATGTCTGGACATTTTAGAAAAAATAGAACTTTTCTATTCCTCACACTGTAATCCCCATAGATTGTAGATTGAAAAAAAAAAAAGTAGTAGAAAAATTATAATAAGCACACCTTGGCTGGTATGCCTATTAAATTAACATTGGGCTTAAGAAGGACATCAAAGCTAGAAACCATTTTTAAAAAGCCATGGCAACTGAAAAATGCTTTGAAAAATGATCTGTATGCTATATGAGCAACAGTATAGATTAACATGTACTCTCAAACACTAGTAGATATTGCAATTGGTGTATCATTCAGTTCACGGTAAGTTTTGCTCTGGTAACATAGATCCTCAAAAACCTCAGTAGCTTAAAATAACCGGAGCTTAGTATTCAAGCTACATGTCCATTAGGGCTGTGTTCCGTGTTATTCTCACTTTAGGGCCTAAGCTGATGCAACATATACTCTATGAAATATTGTCGTCATAGTATGGAAGGTAAAAACGCTCTAGAGTTGTGCTGTCCACTGTAGTAGCCACTAGCTACATATGGCTCTTTAATTTGTATTTAAAAATTGTTTAAATTGATTTCCTCAGCTACTTTAGCCACATTTTAGATGCCCAGTTAGTGGACCATATTGGACAATGCAGATGTAGAACATTTTTGTCACAGAAGGTTCTGTTGGACAATGCTGCTCTAGAAAGTCTTGTGCTGACAAATGCTTCATGTCAGAAATGAAATGACACAAGTCACTTCTTTTAGTACTCACTGACCAGGACTAGTCATACAGCTCCACTCAACCACAACAAGCACACTTCTTCAGTGTGTCTAAAAGGTGGACAGCGTGAACGGCTGATGAACAGCGCTAGTAACTACCACAGTGGTATAGCTTTTTCAGAGGTTAGTTTGGAAATATATATATAAATTTAAAAACCTTAAGAATGTTTATGTCTTTTGATCCTATAATTCCATTCTTAAGAACACATTCCAAAGAAATAATTGGGCAATGGAGGCATTTTTTATGATAGCCTGATACATTAATTTCTTCAAAACCTCGTTCTGCAGTGGTCAAAAGATAAAGCTAGGCTTATAGAAGTACAGAGTTGGGACAGAAATCAAAACCCATGCAACTTAAAAAAAAGCAATAACAAAAATAATAACAATCCTAATAAAAATAACTAGCACATTAAATCTTCACCGGCACCCAGCATCAGTTAATCCATAAACCCTGGGTTTGTGTTCCCTCGAATGTGTATGAGGGACTTTATTTTCAGTAGATACTTTGTATTAAAAGTAAATATCTGATCTGGTTTTCTCAATCAAAAAAATATTTGTAAACATAGGGGAGATGTCTTGGCATCTACTTAACCTGTATTCTCAGCTTCACCAGATAGTTTAGTGTTATAGTTGGCATATTGGTTCTTACACACTAAGAGAAGGGCTTCTAAGGGCTGAGGCTTTCTCTTCATAAAGTAAGTTATTCATCACTTCAAAAATAACACAAATATGTTGGGGAAAAAATCACAATCTTTTTACTAATTGTGTATGAGCTAATTTTTGTTAACCATATTGTAGCAGAACAAATGCAAAATGTAAGAGAATGTCCATCAATCAGTGATGGTTTAATTTATTGTAACACTACACAACAGATGACCATATACCCATTAAAATGATGGCAGGTTTATATTTGTAGGCATGAAAATATATCCAAATAAATAAGATGAACAGATTATAAAATAGCACCTAAATATACATTAAGAAAAGTTTGAAAAAATACACCTAAATCTTTAAAAATTATTTGTAAGTTTTGTGTTTTAATAGATAGTATATTGACTTGTTTCACAACTGTAACATACATAGGTGTTTTGTGAAAAGCTCAAATCTTAACAGTGGTTATTAGATTAATTTATTTAGCAAATATTTATAATAGTAAGTACTGTCAGGCACTGAGCTAGGCACTACGAATATAGAGGAAAATGAGATAGACATAGTCCTTAACTTTATTTTTTTAAATATTGTTACAGAAACCTCAGTCCTTACCCTTGTAGGGCTCATAATCTAGGATGGAAAGCAGCTCTTGAATAGCTAGTACTAAATAACAAAGTTATAAATTAAATAACCGAATAACTAAAGTATAACAACTATTATGATAGAAGGAATTATGTGGATGTGACACTGCCACTTAGCCTAGATGTTGAGAAAGGACTTCCTAAAAAATGTTAAGCTGAGAATTGAAGGATGAGAAGCAGCTCCAGTTTTGTTTTCAATTTGTGATAGTATCCATGAGATCTGAAAAAGGTAATGTCTGTTTAAACTCTGTAGTAAAGGGCAATAAAATACATTGTTTTTGTCTTGAAAAAGAGGAATGACTGATCATTAATTTATGATCTCATCAAACTTCAGTTGTCAGAACAATCCATATTCATAGAGAAGCAAACTTAATCAGTAACATGGGGGAACCACTTTTGTTAGCGTTTAAATTCTAATCACAGACTTGGAGTAGTATAAGTGGACATAGAGGAAATGCTCTTGTGATTGGCTAGAGCCTTCAACTGGAGCTGATACATTCATTAGACCTAGAAATCTACTCTTTAGTCTGACAGACCGCTCTAGGAACTTGACCTACTTAGACTGGGATAAGAATTCTTCCTTATTGCCACAGTCAGTGCCCATGTAGACCTGTCTGTAGACTCTTACCTAGTAGTGCATTCTATTAAGTGCCTTCTAGATGTAAGGTGATAGAGGGGAAAGCTTTTTTTCTAGAATCTTTTACTGGTCATAACCACTTTGTAAACTTTACTGTTCTAAAGCTGAGTTAAGTAGAAAGGCTGTCATAGGGACATCTTTCATTCTTACCATCTGATACTGGGTACTGGCATCTTCGTTCTCACTTCATCTTCACACAGAGCCTACTTAGTTATTAAGTATACCCAACAAAAAGTTGAATAAATGAATGAGTGCTTATTGACTGGAATCTTTAATTTCTTGACTTCTCATTTTTCCTTCTCAGTCCTGTTTTCTTCAGATGTTAGTTTCCTCTTTTCTCCACTTTCTTTGTAAATTTCTTGAGACCTTCAAGGCAGAACTTTAGTTCTGAAGAGAAGCTTTTATCATTAATCAGGCTCCCTGTTTATTTTTTCTATTTATTTGAAAGTGAATTATATTCGTGAAGTGGAGATTAATAACAATCATATACTGAAATTTTATTTTTAGTATAGTATCCTCTTAACACTGTCTAGTGAATGTTCTTTTTGTAAGAGCTTGAGTTGAGCCTAGTCATAGCAGAAGTAAAGCCTTTAAATCTGAAAAGGAAAATGTATAAAATTATGAAGTATGTTTGTTGACCACAACGGATTTAAGTTAGAAACCAATAACAATACAATATCTAGGAAACCCCCAGATATTTGAAAATACAACAACACAAATTTGAATAACCCGCGCATCAAAGAAAATGAAAAGAGAAATTGGAAAATATTTTGAATTGAATAAAAGAAATATATCAAAATGCTTGAGATATAACTAAAGTAGGGCTTAGAGGGAAATTTATAGCTCTGTACATGAAAGGCCCTAAATCATTAACCAACCTATGTTCCCTCTTAAGCAAGAAAAAGAAGAGCGAAGCAGATTCAGAGTAAGTCAGAAGAAGAAAAAATAAAGAGGAGCAGAAATCAAAGAAATAAACACTAGAAAATATTAATAAAGCCAATACTGGTTCTTTGAAAGATAAAATTGACAAATTGTTAGCTGGATTGATCAAGAAAAAAGAGAACACAAGTTGCAATATTAAGAACAAAAGACAGGTTATTGCTACAGATTATGCATACATTTTAAAGGTTAATAGATTATTACAAACAGCTGTATACCAATAAATTTGACAACTTAGATGAAAAGAACAATTTCCTTGAAAAATAAAATTTACCAAAGTAAATATAGGAAGGAACAGGAAATCGAAATAGCCCTGTATTAGAGAAACATTCCCCCAAAGAAAACCTAAGACATAGATATTTTTACTGTTAATTTCTATCAAACATCCAAGGAAAAAATGACACTGATTTTACACACTTTTTCAGAAAATAGAATAGAGATCACTGCCTAATTATTCCGAGTCCAGCATAACTCTAATGTCAAAATCTGAAAAGTATATCATGAAAAGAATCACGGATCAGTACCCTCACAGATGCAAAAATCCTTAATAAAATATTAACAAATTGAATATATTCAATATTAACAAATCGAATATAAAAAAGATAGTATATCTGGCCAACTATGGTTTACTCTAAGAAAGGAAAGATATTTTAACATTGCAAAAGTGAACACAGTGTCCCATATTGACAGATGTGAAAATGATATAGTCATTTCAATAGATGCAGAAAAAGCATTTGACAAAAATCTTCCATTCATGATTGAAAAAAACCTCTTGCTTACTAGGTATGTAAGGGAACTTAACCTCAAAAAGAGTATAGAATAACTTACAGGTGACATTATACTTAAATAGAGGACAAGGCCAGCATTCTTCCTCTGGCCAGTGTTAGCACTGTCCTATCGTCCTACCATTAAATCAAAAAAGTAAAAGCCTTCAAGATTGGAAAGGAAATGAAATTGTTCATATTTACAATTGATGTGATTGTTTAGGTAGAAAATCTCAAATCTATAAAAACTAGAATCAAGTGATGTTAGGTATTTATATAGTTAATAATTGAAAAAAAAGAAAAAATTAAAAATTCCATTTACCAAAAGGCATAAAATATTCAAGAATAAATCTAACAAAAAAGTGAACTATATACTGAACACCATAAAACATTACTAAGAATTAAGACGTAAGTAAATGGAGAAAGAGATCATGGTTGTGGATTGGCAGGATCAATACTGTTAAGATGTTGATCTTCCTAAATTGATCTAGAGATTCAGTCTGATCCCAATCAAAATTTTAGCTGGCTTTTTCATTGAAATTGGCAAGTTGAGTCTAAAATTTAAATGGAAATGTCATTCCTGGGCAGAAGCTTTAAGAGCTAATATGTGATTCGACCCTTTCCCTTTTCCCTTGTTTAGCAATCATTGAAGCATATAAATGGTATTTCTCTCAGCATAATGACAGCATAATTTGAAAATTGAAGAAACTGTGGCACAGAGATTAAGTGATCAGTTCAAGGTCACACAGCTTGCAAATGTCTTTGAACCCGGGCAAGGCAATCTAGCTCCCGTCTGTACTCTTGACTGTACAATTGTTTTATAGTCCTACCACTTTCTAAGACAATTGCTGTTTCTTTACACTCTTGCCAAATTCCCCAGCTTGCTTTCTGAATATTTAATCTGATAGGGGAAAAGTAATTCTTATTAATGAGATTGAGTGTGTTTTTTCATGTATACTGGCTACATTTATTAACCTTTAAACTACCTGTCATATCATTTGCCCATTTTTCTTTGGGTTGGTTTTTTTTTGGTGATTTCTAGTGCTTGCCTTTATAATCATTTTACCTCTGTTTTACTTTTTCAGTTACCGACCCTGAGGCCTGTTATATTGGCACTGAGCCTTGGAAACCCAAGGAAGCTTTGGAGGAGAATGGTATTATTACTGACAAGGCAGACATATTTGCTTTTGGCCTTACTCTGTGGGAAATGATGACTTTATGTATTCCACACATTAATCTTTCAGATGATGATGATGATGATGATGATGATGAAGGTAAATAACATTTTTAACATAAATCTCAATCTCTTCAGTTTGAAATAGTTTATAACTTATTTTTCTATTAAGTTAAAATTTAAAAAGCAAAGTATTTGATTTAGTGGCATGGGATATAGATTTTAGTAATACTGATGACTAATTTGGTACCATCTCAGTTTAATATCATACAAATGAGATGCAGATTAATTCAGAACTGGGAGATAAATTGAGAAAGTTGGGAGGAGCAAAAGTTACCTTAAAAACTCCCCTTCCCTGAGAACAAGATTGGAAAGCTGTCATAATAAGGGGGGAAGAGTTGATAACCATGGATTGATAGTAAATCCGTGATAATAGCTAATGTATAGGACAATTGAAGAGACTAGACTGCCGGTGGTATAATGAAAAACATACTGGATGATGAATTCTTGTTTCAGAAGGGTCAGTTTGAGCAGTCGCTAAGCTTTTCCATGATTTTATTTCAATCTCTAACTCCTTCATGAACAGATAAAACTTTTGATGAAAGTGACTTTGATGATGAGGCATACTATGCAGCTTTGGGAACTAGGCCACCTATTAATATGGAAGAACTGGATGAAACATACCAGAAAGTAATCGAACTCTTCTCTGTATGCACTAATGAAAATCCTAAAGATCGTCCTTCTGCTGCACACATTGTTGAAGCTTTGGAAATAGAAGTCCAGTGATCGCCTCACATTTGTGACTATCTGAGCTTCGAGTATGGTTCATGTATATAACTTCTGTTTACTGTAATACATTTAGATAACTATGATAATCCATAATTAGACTTTTTGAAAGTGGCCTATTTTAGGACTGTAGCACCTTGTTAATATTTGTACACCTATTTCTATTATAAAAGTATTTCATGTATACTAATAATCAGCATTTGAGTTCATAGAGGGTTTTTTATAAAGTTTAAGAAACTGTTTTAAGAAACATATTTAAGTTTGTTCATACAGATTTAAAACACTAGGAATTGAATGCTGTAAACTTTTTGTCTAACATTAATTTGGTTAGTTACTATTAATGATTTTTCTCAAATATTTTCACATATTCTCTGTTTAATAGATCTATTGAAATTAGTACTTTGCACAGTACAAAATATGTCTACATTTGCTTATCTCTTAAAACATTTAACTTTCTGCTTTCTTTTCTTAGCTGGTGTGCTTATTAAATACGGTCACTGGAAGCTGAGAGAATGTGGCTCAAAAGAGTAGTTTTTTGAGTATTTCCAACATTTTTGCTTAGGGCTTATCTTGCTCTCTCTGCTCTTCCCACATCTTTGGTTTTTACTTTCATTTATTAAGTGTATTTTCTGTACCGAGATCTATTATTTTTTATTAATCTATATCTTAAGCATTTAACATTTATGGTGTAGAAATAAAACTCCAATAAGATAATATAGAATAAAGGACACTTTAGTTACCAGAAGGTGTTTTATCTTATTTTATACTCCATTGTTTTGAGTGTTGTCATTAAACTTGAGTGAATGTGAGTAGGTTTTTTTCTCTTGGCCTTACTTTGTTAATCTGTAAAATGAGGGTGATCTGGATAAGTAGTTTCTATCTGTGAACCACAGCCACCTTGGAATTTCAGTTATTGAATTATGCTTGTGAATCTAGGTAATATGACTGTAAAAAGAACTTAAAATATTACTGTCAAATAGGGGATCTTAGAAAGGTTAGGAACAACTATGCTCTGAGCTTTAAACAACATTAGAATTCACTGGAGGACTCCTTTTGTATAAGATTGTATGAAGCAATGGTACACAGATAATGAGCATTACTTATCAAAATGTTATTAAAGTGACAAGAAAGTAAACTGAAAGCTGACTTAATTTATGGAAAAATCTTATGTACAATTTTGTATCGTGACATTAAGTTATCTTTACTCATATGTTGTGTCATTCTTATTAGGTCTGTCAAGCTGCAAAGCAGTTTCTCTTAGCCCATTATCATGAATTGCAACTTTCTTTTTAGTACATAAACAAAATGCTTTTTCTTGAAGAATTTGTTTCCAGTTCCTATAGTTGGAATATCTAAATGTGAACAAACTGATGCTCAAGGACTGGGCCAGCAAATTCACAGGACTTGTCTATGGCTGACGTTGCAAAGTGATTCCAGCATGCTTTTCTCCTTGAGTCTGGGTAGGGCTGTGATGTCCTCAACACAGGTAATTTGCTACCAGCTGGAAGGAAACTTCTTTTATTCTTGTCCTAGAATCTGTTCTTTTGGTCTCGGATGTTACCTTCTTTTTTGGACATTTGCCTCATTCTCAGGAAAGAAGAGTAATGTGACTGGATTGAGGATAGAGCAGGACTAATCTTTTTGTTGAATTATAATTGGCATATCAACACAGGCTTCTCCCAAACAACCTTCTCACCTCCCAGAATATCTCCCTTTTACTATCAGTGTAAGGATTCCAGGAACCTGTTTCCACCTCTATAAAATGGAAATAAGCAGCTACTTAAGAAATGTTGAGGACTGTTCTTTCATGCCTCCTAGTACCTACTTCATCTACAGTTTGTTGATCAAAGTACAATTCAAAAAGGTTTTTAATAATAAAAAAATATATAAATTTGTGGGGAGCTTATAGAGATTTGTAGTCTTAAATATTATATTAGAAAAAAGACTGAAGGCCTGGGGGTTCTCACTGTGCCAGATCACAGAGGGTTTCCATTTATAGCCTGCAGCGCTGCCCCCAAGTAAGACTGGTATCTTGTCCTTAAAAACCTTGAAACTTGGCATTTACGTGGCCTCCTAATAGATGAGAGTCCTTTCAGGCATCCATTTCCAGAATAAGGAGGTTTCATTCGTATTGAATATTTGCTCTGGCAAGTAATTTTCCTCCATAATCAGCTTATCTAGAGTTTCCAAAATTTTTTCAGCTGCTGTCACATCAACTCTCATAGACTTATCACGCTCTTTCACATTATGTAATGAGTAACAAACAATTCTTTAATCATTTAAACCACTCAGCTAACAGTAAATAAATTCAACATCATAGTTGGGTCCAACCTTCATTTTCAACATCTGAAGCAAACTTTTTCTTTGCCTGTGATCATCGTGATGCTGAGAGGGACATGGCTGTGTCTGGTCTTCAATCCAGGTTTAAAAGCTTCTTCAATTTTGGTAGTATCGTCTTCAGTGAAGCAGATCCCTTAACAGCTTCTGTCACTTTGTTCTTGTCCTTCAAGATCGTAGCTGTGGTGGAATGGGACATGCCTGATTAGACGGAGAGCAGTAAACATCACTGATTTTACACCTTTGTAGTCCTTAATCACTTTAAGTTTGTGTCCAGGTCAGTCACTTGAAGTGGCTTCTCATTGGCATCATTAGCAGTGGAATTTATATGCTTCAGGGCCATGCTGAACAAAACATGAGATTAAATCAAGTACAAGAGAAAATGATACCATTGAGATGTTGTAAACGCAAGATGTATGAGGCTACTGCTGGCGTAACAGCATACTGTTTTAGAGCAGACTTTTTTTATAGAGTACACTCTGAAATAATGATAAGTATAGTAAATACAAACCATTTGTTTATTAGGTATTATGTACTGTACATAATTGTATGTGCGCTTTTATATGACTGGCAGCTCAGTGGGTTTGTTTACACTAAATCACCACAAACACGTGAGTAATGTATTGCACTGATGTTACATTGACTATGATGTCACTAGGTGATAGGAATTTTTCAGCTCTATTATAATTTATGGGACCATCAACATATATTCAGTCTATTGCTGACTGAAAAGTGGCACACCACATGACTATATATACCACATTTTCTTCATCCATTGGTGTACACCTAGGTTGTTTCCATGTTGATTTAATCTCATGTTTTGTGACAACTACAATGAACGTGGGGGTGCATATATCTTTTCAAGTCTGTTTTCTTTACGTTAAATACCCAGAAGTGAAATTGGTGAATTGTGGTAGTTCCATTTTTAATTATTTGAGGAACCCCCACTGTTTTCCATTGTAGCTGTACTAGTTTACACTCCCACCAAGGGTTTCCTTTTCTCCATGTCCTTATTTCTTGGTTTTTGGATTTTTTTAATAATAGCCTTTTCAACAGGTGTGAGGTGATACCTCATTGTGGTTTTGACTTGCATTTCCCTGATTATTACTGATGTTGAGTTTTCATGTACCTGTTGGTCATCTGTATGTCCTATTTGGAAAAATATGTTTTGATCCTCTGCTCATTTTATAATTGTATTGCTTTTTTTTTTTTTGGCTGTTGTATAAGTTCTTTATACATATTGGGTATTAACCCTTTATAAGGTATATGATTTGCAGATATTTTCTCCCATTCAGTAGGTTGCTTTTTCATTTTGCTGGTCTCTTTCACTGTATAGAAACTTTTTAGTATGATGCAGTCCCACTCATTTATTTTTGTTGTTGTTGCCTTTGCTTTTAGTGTCAAATCGAAAAAATCATTGCCAAGATCAATGTCAAGAGACTTATTTACCACCTATGTTTTCTTATAAGAGTTTTATGGTTTTAGGTCTTAAATTCAAGTCTTTATTCCATTTTAAATTGATTTTTATGCATTATATAAGAGTGGTTCAGTTTTCTCAATACCACTTACAGAAAAGACTGTCCTTTCCTCATTGTATATCCTTGGCTCCTTTGTCATAAATTAATTGACCATATATGTGATGCCTTTTATTTCTCTTTCTTGCCTAATTGCTCTTGCAAAGACTGCCATTACTATGTTGAATGAAAGTGTTTAGAGTGGGCATCTTGTGTTCCTGGTTTAGCTGAAAAGCTTTCATCTTTTCACTTGAGTGTGTTAGCTGTGGGGTTGTTAAGTTGAGGTACATTCCGTCTATACCCAGTTTGTTGAGTTTTTATAAATGGATATTAAATTTTGTCAAATGTTTTTTCTGCATCTTTTATGATGATCATGATTTTTATCCTTCATTTTGCTAATGTGATTTATTACATTATTACATCAATTGATTTGCAGGTTTTGAACAATCCTTACATCCCTGGAATAAATCCCGCTATCATGATAGATGATCCTTTTTAAAAATTAAAAAAATGTTTTTAAATTACAGTTGATGTTCAATATTATATTAATTTCAGGTATATAATAAAGTGTTTAGACATTATATAACTTAGGAAGTGACTCCCCCCATATGATCTTTTTATGTATTGTCAAATTTAGTTTTTATTTTTGCTAACATTTTGTTGAGGATTTTTGCATCTATGTTCGTCAGGAATATTGGCCTGTAATTTTCTTGTGGTGTCCTTGTCTGGTTTTGGTATCAGAGTAATGCTGGCTATGTAAAATGAATTTGGAAGTGTTCCATCCTCTTCTATTTTTTGGAAGAGTTTGAGAAGAATTGGTATTATTAGACTTTTTGGTAGAATTTACCAGTGAAGCTGTCTGCTCCTGGACTTCTGTTTGTTGGGAGGTTTTTGATTACTAATTCAGTCTATTTACTAATTAGTAATTGTTCTGTTCAGATTTTCTATTTCTTCATGATTCAGACTTGGCAGGTTGTATGTTTCTAAGAATTTATCCATGTCTTCTAGGTCAGTGATCCCCAACCTTTTCAGCATCAGGAAATGGCGCTCCTGTGAGAATCTAATGTCTGATGATTTGAAGTGGAGCTGAGGCGGTGATGCTAGCGCTGGGGAGTGGCTGCAAATACAGATGAAGCTTTGCTTACCGGCCTGCTGCTCACTTCCTGCTGTGCAGCCCGGTTGCTAACAGGCTACAGACCGGTACCAGTCCATGGCCCGGGAGTTGGAGCCCCCCGTTCTAGGTTTTCCAATTTATTGACGTATAATCATTCATAGTAGTCTCTTATCCTTTGTATATCCGCGGTAGTACTTATAATGTCTCCTCTTTCATTTGATTTGAGCCCTTTTTTTTTTTCCTTGAGTCTAGCTAAAGGTATCTTTTTTTCTTTTTTTAAGTTTTCAAAGAACCAGCTCTTGGTTTCATTGATCTTTTCTATTCACTTTTTAGTCTATATTTCTTTTATTTCTGCTCTTTGTATTTCCTTCATTCTACCAGCTGGGCTTCATTTGTTCTTTTTATAGTTCCTTGAGATACAAAGCTAGGTTGTTTGAGATTTTTCTTGTTTCTTGAGGTAGGCATTTATAGCTATGAAGTTCCCTCTTAGAACTGCTTTTGTTGCATCCTATGTTTTGGTATGTTGTGTTTCCATTTTCATTGTCTCAAGATGTTTTTTTTAATTTATTTTCATTTTTTGGCGACCTCTTGGCTGTTCATTAGCATGTTTAATCTCCACATGTTCGTGAATTTTCTAGTTTTGTTTTTGAAATTGATTTCTAGTGTCATACCATTGTGGTTGAAAAAGGTGCTTGACATGATTTCAATCTTAAATTTAAGAGTTGTTTTGTGGTCTAATGTAGCTATTTTGCACAATGTTCCATGTGCACTTGAGAAGAATGTGTATTTTGTTGCTTTTGGATGAATGTTTTGTCTATATCTGTTAAGTTCATCTGATCTAACATGTTATTTAAGGCTGATGTTTCCTTATTTTTCTGTCCGAACAATTTATCCATTGATGTAAGTGGGGTATTAAAGTCTTCTTCTACTATTATTGTAATATTGTCATTTTCTTCCTTTAGGTCTGTTACTATTTGGCTTATATATTTAGGTGCTTCTATGTTGGGTGCGTATTTACCCGACATAGAAGTTATATCCTCTTGTTGGATTGACCCCGTCACTATTATGTAATTCCCTCCTATGTCTAGTAGTCTGTTTTAGTCTGTTTTGTCTGATACAAGTATAGCTACTTCGGCTTTCTTTTGGTGCACATTTGCATGGAATATCTTTTTCTATTCCTTTACTTTCTGTCTCTGTGTTTACTATGCCTGAAGTCTCTTGTAGGTGGTGTTTAGATGGTCTTGTTTTTTTTTTTTTTTAAATCTATTTAGCCTCTATCTTTTGGAGAATTTAGTCCTTTGTACTTAATCATTGATTGGTATGTAATTACTGCAGTTTTGTTGCTTTCTAGTTGTTTTGTAGGTCTGTTCCTTCTCTTGCTCTCTTTCTCTGGTTTATTTTCTGTGGAGATGTGCTTATATTTCTTTCTTATCTTTTGTATACATAGGTTTTTGCTTCGTGGTTACCATGAGGCTTACCCATAACATCTTATATTTGTAAATCTATTTTAAGTTGATAACTAAGTTTGAACACATTCTAAAGTTCCGCATTTTACTACCCCCATGTTGTTTTGATGTCCCATTTTACATATTTTATCATGTGTACTCCTTAGCTAATTATAGTTCTAGTAATTTTTACTTTTGTCTTCTAACCTTCATAATAGCTTTGAGTGATGGCTCTTTGAGGAACTTAATAAACTGATTCTAAAATGTACATGAAAATACATGCAAAGGGCCAAGATAGACAAAATACTCCTGTAGCAAAAAAATGTGGGAGAATTTACTATACCACAAGAATCTTATAACACAATGTGGTATTGGCATAAGGATAACCAGTAAAACTAGTGGAATAAACAGAGTCAGAAACACAATCACACATATATGGGCACAATTTTTGACAAAGGTAGCAAAATCAATAACTAAAAAAACATAAAACAAAGGACAAGAGACTTAGTCACAGCCTAAAATGCTCATCAACAGTAGTATAAATTATGGTATAGTCTCATGATGGAATGTATGTAATGAAAATGAGTTTCAGCTAGATGCAATAACATGGATGCATTTTGACAAAAATTCAATTTATATAAAGTTCAAAAAGACTAGAGACATCAAAAAGTAGTTGCATTTGAGGAAGATGATGTGATAATGCTTGAACGGGGCATGAGGAAGGCTTCTGGGAAGGCGGCAATGTTTTGTTTTTCTTTATTAACCTGGGCTGCAGTTATGAACGTATTTGTGATAACTCACTGAGTTACTTTTTAAAACCTTTAGAGAAGTTTCAGATTTACTGAAAAGTTGCAAAGACAGATAATTCCCATATACCCCCACACTGAGCTTATCAACATCTTATATTGCTGTAGTATATTTGTCACAATATATCAATGAACCAATATTGATACATTGATGCTAACTAAAGTCCATACTTTATTCGGGTTTAGTTTTTACCCTTTATCTGTTTCAGTATCTCATTCAGGATACCACATTACATTTAGTTGGCATGTCTCTGTAATAGTTTCTCACTATTTTGTTCTTCAGATTTTTTTTAGAACAGTTTTAGGTTCACAACAAAATTAAAAGGTACAGATATTTCCCATTTAGCCCTGCCATCACATAGGCATAGCTTCCCCCATTATCAACACCCTCTTCCAGACTGGTACATTTTCTTGCAACTGATGAATCTACATTGACAAATTAAAGTTCACTATCCATTCTATGAGTTTGGGCAAATGTATAATGGCATGTATCCACCATTATAGTATACATAGTACTTTTCACTGCCCTAAAAATCTGGTGCTCCTACTCATTGCTTCTTCCCTCCAACCCTTGGTAACCACACATAGTTTTACTGTCTCCACAGTTTTGCCTTTTCCAGAATGTCATATAGTTGGAATCATATAGAATGTAGCCTTAGATTGGCTTCTTTCACTTGGTAATTCTCACTTAGAGTTCTTCCGTGCCTTTTGGTGGCTTCTTTTTAGTGCTGAATAATATTCCACCATCTGGATATATCTGTTTATGCATTCAGCTACTGAACAACATCTTGCCTTTGAAGTTTTGACAATTATGAATGAAATTATCTGTATGCAGGTATTTGTGTGGATATATGCTTTCAATGATTACTTTTTTTTTTAACAAAGAGCATGTACTGTTTTATAACCACTAAATTTTAAAAGAAAATCAGTACATTCAATTGTATAAGAGAATATTGAAAAGAATTTTAATAGATTCATCACAAAAGCATTTAGCAAATAATGTTAATAAAAATTTTAAAATAAAATATTTAAAACAAAAAAAAAAACAGCAGTGCAGAAAACAGCATCAAAATGTTTGCATAATTACACACATTTCAACACTTCCACATTCTTTTTGGAACCCAGGCCTTTAAATCTTTGAATCATGTTAACTTACAGGCAAATAAAGGAATGTAAATGAGTATATTCTACATAACGTTATAACCTGGAAAACAAGTTCCCTAGAGTATTATTGCCAGATAGCAATTAATATATTTTAGAATCAAAACAATCTGAATAATTCTTTGCTTTTCAAAGTATCCAAGAATTATACTAGAAAACTGCATATTTAGGTGTATTTACATAACGTCATGTTCTGTGGCCCATCAGCCTAGGTATATTTATTCATTAAACTTTGTTCTGATACTATACATTTTGTCAGATTTCTCAGAACAAGTAAAAAGTATTTTAGACATGCAAAAACATTTTAAATATAACCATATGAATCATCTAATCCCAACTGGGCATCCATTTGGTTAATGACCAGTAATAAATTCTATAAAGGTAACTAGCACAATTAGCATTTTCACACACCAAAAATTAATGAAATGACAGTAGTGCAAATTAAAACATGACAGGTATGCATTTGGTTAATATTTTTAGAAATATTTAAACATTAAGCTATAAAATTCTGTTCTACATAAAAGGATGTGGAAATCATATTTTTCGCCATCTTTATTACACTAGAAATTCAAAACACTTTCTAAATATATTCAGACTGAGCTGTTACCTATAAAGTGAGAATTCCGTGCACAAAATTCAGGAATTACATTTAAAAATGGGGCATGAAAATTGTTTTTAAATTTTCCTGTTTGCTTCTGACTGAGCATGAGATAATCCTGGTCCAAAAGTGCTTTATAAAAGGTAAGTGGTCAAATTTCTGGAAAACCATCTTACTTTGTCATTATTCTTATGTAAGAGGCAAGTAATTTTCCAGTTACAGCTACAAAGTTTCATAATTAAGGATTCAGAGTGCTAGTCAGTATACATCAGCCAAAGATTTTTCTTTTGACACTCCAGGTCATTTTCAACAAATTTATCCCTGACTTTTCATAAGGAACGAAACAGGTAAAGAGGTGTGTGTGTGTGTATGTGTGTGTGTCCTTCTCAGTATTTTTATTTTGATATTTGTTAAATGGTTCTTATAGATGATCAGGAACTGTCTGAACTCATCCACATAGTAACTGTTCTATAGTTGAAATTGGTTTTAACTATTAAAATTGTATACAAGGAAATTGGGAGTGTTGCAGTACTTGGTTGCAAATAACTTGCCATCTGGTGTTGGGTCAGAAAATGCTATTTCATTAGTGCTAAGAAAACAGCCAAACATGAAGCGATTCCTGAAAAAGAGGAAAAGACGATTTAACAGTGGAACCAACTTAAAATTTTGATTAAACAGCACAATTTATGTTAAAAGCAATCCAAAAATAAACTTTCAATCTCTTTAAATACTCGATTAAAAGCAATATTATTTTATTAAGTAGTAAAATGACAATGCTTTAGATTTTAGAGATGGAAGTCTAATATTTCAGATGAGAAAACCGAGGCCCAGAAAAAATTCTGAGAGGCAAAGGGAACCAAACTATCTACTCTAGCTGATCCATGGTAATGAGCAACTAATTTTAGGTAGTATTGCTGATAAAAGCCATAGATAATTAAAAAAAAACAAAACCATCACTGACTTTAACCAACAACTATTCTTCTCAACTACACCACACACAGAGCTTTAAGGCAATAACTAATTTGCATTTTGACTACAACTTGATCTAGCTCAACTAGGAATAAAATAAAATGAAATGGTAGAAAGAATTCAACAAAATGAGGGATAGTCTATAAAATAATTCATCAAATTCTTCAATGTCATCAAAAACAAAGGTTCAAAAAACTCATCTAGTTTAAGGAAAATGAGTATACTAAAGAGCAATGATGACAAGTGCAATAAATGATCCTGGATGGAAAAAATGCTCTAAAGGACATTTGAAAGAAAACTGATAATTTTACTAGCTCATCATGAGTAATTTTGTACTTAATAATCCCATCTGAGCTTCAGTTGATTCTTATGTAAAATAACTAGGAGCAGTATTGTACTCTTGTGAGGATTTAAACATATACTGCCTGTAGAGAAGAGAGAATTCAGCCTAAGGCTCCTCTAATGCATGTTAGCTGTCAATTACTTCGCCTTTATCTTCAACTCAGATGTGTGAGAAGAGATAAGTATGTTCTCATAGATATATTTCTCCCTTGAGGGAGACTTCATTTTTCTTCATTATTGTTCGTAGATAACCTATTGCCTTAGTACTCAAAGTATGCTCTACAGACCAGCAACATTTAGCATCACCTAAGAGCTTACTAGGGATGCAGCATCTTAGGCCCCACCCTGACCTACCGAACCACATTTGAATTTTAACAAGATCCTCAGGTGAGTCATAACACACTTTCAAGTTTAAGAAGCACTGGACTACTGCCTGGTGAGACTGTTAGATACTGGTACTCCTCATGTCAAATTCATGTATCTTAATATAAATATAGAAAGGTATTTCATAATTATCAAATAATCTTTATAAACATCAATTTTTCTCACTGATTCCCTTTATAAGGTATATATGGGTGACCAGGATTATGGTCCAAGACTGGATCCCCACAGTGGCCTTTGGTGTTCTTTCTTGAAAGGTGTACAGAACTCAAAAGGCTAGATTGGCGCTACTCAAAGTGTGGTCACTGGTTTGTAATCTGCTCTCTCAAACATAGAAGTTGAGAGAATGAGTGTTGTGAAACTCATCCACCCAGCCTAGGTTAGGTAGAGAAACAAGCAAGTAAGCTCATTTGTCACATTAGAATATCAATATACAGTGTTAGTTCAAAGTGTGCACATAGGAGTATAAAATGGAGAATCACATATTTGTGAGATATAATTCATATACCATAAGACTCAAAAGTACAGTTCAATTGTTTTTTAGTAATATTCACAAAACTGTGAAACTATAACCACTATCCAATTCCAGAACATTTTCATTACCCCCAAAAGAACTCCTGTACCCATTAGTAGGCACTCTCCATTCTCCCTTCCCTCAGTCCCTGGAAACTACTTTATCTATGGATTTGCTTATTCTGGGTATTTTCTATAAATGGAATCATACAATATGGAGTCTTTTGTGACCGCCATAAAATTTTAAAGGTTGATCCATGTTATAGTATGTATCACTATTCCTTTTTGTGGCTGAATGATATCTCATATTATTGTACAGATACGCCACATTGTTATCCATTAATCATGAACTTGGTTATTGTTTTGGCTATTATGAATAATGCTGTTATGAAACTTCATATATCAGCTTTTGTGTGGACACATATGCTTTCATTTCTTTTGAGTACATAGGTAGGAGTAAAATTGCTAAGTCATGTGGTACCTATTTTTGGGAAACTGTCAGACTGTATTCCACAGCACCTGCACCATTTTACATTCCTGTCAGCAACATAGGAGGATTCTAATTTCCTCCACTTCCTCACCAACACTTGTTATTTTCCCTTTAATTAGTCATTCTAGCAGGTATGCAGTGGCATCTTATCATGGTTTTGATTTGTGATTTGGTTTGGATAGATAATGATGTTGAGCAAATTTTCAAGTGCTTATCAGCCATTTGTATGTCTTTGAAGAAATGTCTATTGAAATCCTGTGCCCATCTTTAAACTAAGTTATGTGTCTTTTTATTGTACTGAAGAGTTCTTTTATTTTGCTAGATATACTGGACCCTTGATATATGATTTACAAATACTTTCTCCCATTCTATGGGTTATCTTACTAATGCACTTTACATTTAGTTACACTTATGAGCTACAGTACATCTTTATTAATGACCTACATATAAACTATCAATGAACATGTATAATTTCTGTAATTCTTTAACTTATATTTTGTTTTTCTACTTAATTATATTTATTATTATTTACTGCAATGTTAACTATATCTGTTGACTCTAATAAAAATTAGGGCTTGTATTTTCCATATTCTAGCAATTCATCTTTATTTTGTTAAACTGTTGGTTTTTAACAGATTAAACTAGTCTTTCACCGCAGGCAGTTTAAAAATCACTGGGTTAGAATGTTTCAGACTTGGAATGTTGTGCCCTAAACTGAGTATATTTTGTATTTTTTTTTTTTCAATACCAATACTTGCCTTCCTTGCCTTAGATAGAATTTATATAGAAGTGTCTTACTAACATCATTCTTTTTGGCTCATGAGCTAGGAAAGGTACTGGGAAAGCTAATCTGGGTCTAAATCCATGTTATTTTAATACCTGAGAGTATCAACCAGTCTTCTTGCAATGCGTTTTCTTCTCTTCAGTCTGAAGACCCAAATTCTACTTATCCCACAGACTGCAGGTTCTGGTACATCTGAACATTGCCAAGCCCTGTGACATTCTTTAGAACTCGGAGATTCTGGACCAGTTGGTTCAGACAGAACACGGAAGGCCTGCAATGATATACAGAAATATCTAGAGTTAACAATACAGATAAGTGCATATTTCTTTTTAAAAACCAATCCTTAAACAAAAATATCTAAAATTAATCTTATACCTTCATCAAAAATGTTAAAATTCTTTGATAGTTCTTGAATTCTTGTTTACTTAGCCACACAATGCTTAAAAAAATACTAGTGGTGTTAAGATATTCCCAACATATCATTATGAAACTTTTTTACTGAATAAAAAATATTGTAAAAAATCAGACTGACTTTTAATAAAGTATATAAACTCCCATTCTCTTTAGTCTAAAATGTATATGTGTTCTAAAAAACTGGTAACAACTAAAGATTTTTACATGTTAACTATGAAATTTGGTAGGCATTTAGTTTTTAAAAAACTTTATTTTGAAATAATTATAGATTCACAGGAAGTTGAAAAATAGATGACCTGTATATCCTTTACCCAGTTTCCCCAAGGGTTACACCTTCTATAACTGTAGTGTAATACCGAAACCAATAAATTAACATGAGTATAATGTGTGTGTATAATTCCATGACAATTAATTATTTCTGTATATTCATTTAAACACTAGCATAATCAAAATACAGAGCTAATGCATCATCACAAATCTTCCTCTTGCTACTGCTTTATAATTACATCCACCATCCCTAAGCCCTGGCAACCAGTGTGTACTCTATGTCTACAATTCTGATATTTTTGAGGATGTCATATAAATGAAATCATATAGCATGTGAGCTTTTGAGATTGGCTTTTTTCACTCTGCACAATGCTTTTGACATCTGTCCAAGTTGTTGCATGTATCAACAGTTTGTTCCTTTCCATTGCTAAGTAATATTCCATTGTATGGATGTACCGGTTTGTTTATTCATTTACTTACTGAAGGACACTTTTGTTTCCAGGTTTTGGCTATTACAAATAAAGCTGCTATAAACATTCAGGTACTCATTTTTGTGTAGACAGAAGTTTTCATTTCTCTGGGAGAAATGCCCAGGAGTATGATGCCTGGATTAGTTTTTAAGAAACTGCCAAACTTCTCCCAGAGGGTTGTAACATTTTATAGTCCCTCCAACAATGAATGAGAGATTTAGTGTCCCAGCATCCTCATCAGCATTTGGTATTGTCACTGTTTTTTATTGTAGCTGTTTTAATAGGTATATACTTAACCAAGTTTTAACTACCATCAAGAAAACTTTGCTTTTGAAATGAGAATGAGTAGAAGAGAATATGTATATTATTTGGCTATATTTGCCTATAATCACTACATAAACCATCTACTTTAAAATCAAAGAAAGAAATGGCCAAATTGATCACTTTTATTGCCAATAATACACACAGCTGCTTTTCCCTCCAACTTCTGATAAACACACAAGAGACTGTGTGTGTGTACATACATGATGAAAAAGCAGGGAAAAAAAGGAAAATAAGATGGTAGAAATGAGGGTATAAAAGGAAGGCGCTTACAAAAATAAGATAATGCTATCATTTCAAGAAGTACTGAGACAGATAAATATTTTTAAAAGGAAGGAGACATAAGTATGGAATATTATACAGTCACATAAAAAGAACACATGTGAACTATAATTTTCTCTAGTTAAAAATTAACCTGTAAGCTCCTTGAAGGCAAAAACTTCATCTCTTTATTCTAGAACAAGAGTTGGCAACTTTTTTTCTATAAGGGACAAAACTGTAAATACTTTAGACTCTTTGGGCCATGTGATCTGTTGTACCCACCCAACCCTGCCATCAAAGCACAAAAGCAACCACAGATAAAATGGAAATGAATGAGCATGGCTCTGTTTCAATAAAACTTTACAAAAACAGGTGGTGGGCCACATTTGGTCCACAGGCTATAGTTTGCCAACTTCTTTTCTAGAACACTGCTAATTAGTACCTAGATTCTAATTAAGGGACAAGTGATGACTATTTTGCCAAATATATTAATCTACACTAAGCCACATATTCGATAACTGAGCTCTATAGATTTGCTTATTTAAAATCAGTATATAGTCCAGGTATAGAAACTACTACATGAACATAAGACTGACTGACTTATGATGCTTATATAAGGCAAAATACCAAATATAATAGAAATAAGTGACTTCCATTATTCATATGGTCAAGGATATTTTAGGAGGAAAACATGTCATTACTAGTAGTGGTCTTAAATGCTTAATGAAACTTCTCCCAACTACTTTCTTTTGCTCGCAAATGATGCCAATAATTTAAAACACTATACCATACCTGTTTGATGGGCTCTGCAACTAAACATCCAACTACTCTCTTTTCATCAGATATAAAGAGAAAAGTTTTGGTTTTGTTGGGACATCTGGAAACCACTTGCTGGAAGCCCAATTCATGATCAACAAGTTCTTGGACATCTTCTACCTAATGATGTGAAAAACCAAAAGAAGTGACCACTATGCTGTATATCTAAAACTAATATAAAATAATACTGAATGTCAACTCTAACTGGAAAAAAAAAAAAAAAAGGTGAATTTGTTTTTAAAAGTATAATAGAAACCATATATATTTATATACACAAATTTATGACTGCTAACATTTTGGCCTCTTATCTCTACTTCCTAAATTCACAAAGCCTCCCCTACAATTATTTCATTATCGATGCATGTATCTGCCACTTTATAAACAGGGTTTTAAGAACATATTTTAAAGATCACTTTCAGCAGAAAGAAATTCAGGCTCCTGGGAAGGATGAGTAGAAAGTGCCAACACAGATTTTGTTTCAGCTTTATTTTTTTGTTTACTGGGGCTAAACATCCAACCCAAGAAACAAAGGCAACACCAATATAAGAAATAAACTCTGGGACCATTAATCTCTCAACATGGAAAAATTTAGTTTATCTTCACAAGTGGAAGATGAAGGTAAAAGATAAACTATAGAGACTTATCTGGTTTCTTTAATCTACATTTAGTTTTGTATGAACTACCATGAAAGTCATCCTTACATGTGTACCAAAGTGGATTACCTATCTGCAAAGGTGTTTTACACTTCACATAGGTGATTTCTTGGTGGTGGTGGTGGTGGTGGGGTGGGGCAGGGAAGGAATAGGAGGAGAACAAAGCTTAAAAGCTAATGCTCCATACCTTTTTGATAGCATAGCCTGGATCATGTGGCAGGACCAACACAATTTTCCCATCCCAAAACTCTGCTACTACACGTTCTTTTTTCCAGCCCTGCCAAAAGATAAAAAGTCATAGTTTAATTTGAAGAGGAAAAAAACCAAACATAAATAATTCAGTCTGAAGAAAACAAAAGAATAAATGATAGAGAAAAGTTAAAAGAAAATCCAAATAAAAGAATGTAAGTCAAAATAAAGGAATATGGGAAGGGAAATAAAAGATGCCTAAAACAAAGTGCCTGTCAAGTGCTGAACCCCACTGAGAAACATGTACATAATCTATTATACCACAAGGCAGAGTCACATAAGAGCTCTTCATAGGATATAGAGAAAAAAATGAATTATTAGGAATGGGAAACGGGAGGGGTGGGATAAGCAGAATTTTAATAAGCCAGGCTAAAAATATTATGAAGTACAAACTATGGCAGTAACAGTAGCAGGGAAAAAGGATACACTTGAGTAGCAGTTGTGATCATAAAGATAAGGCCAACAATAGAATGTGTTTGGACTAGAAAGGTGCTCAATAAAGTGACCTCTCAGAAAAGAAAAAGCCTGGAGAAGTCATAAAAAAGCTGTTTTTCTAAGGCTATCTATAAAGAAGAAACTAAAAGCTGTTTTTCTAAGGCTATCTATAAAGAAGAGGGTGGGACTCCAAGTCTTTGAATTTTGTATTTTGATTGTTTAGCTCTGCTCAGAAAGTATTGTCATAGAGGTAAGAATGCAGGGTGTTCACTCAACATAGAACAATATTTCTCTTATATTAGGATAGACTGAAATAGCACTTTTTTAAAAAGTTAACTTTTAAATACCATCAGCCTCAAATATTAAGGACAACAAAATTGCAGATGATGGATATATGTATTTGTGGATAGATCTTTCAATATTTAAGCAAAAGAAATATGTCTTTTAAAACAGTTTTACTTTTAGAACAAAATATGACTTTTTTTTTTTTTTACTTACTGCATATTTGATTCCCTCCAGAAATCTGTGGTGATGCTGAACATGTTGCACTTCATCTTCAGGGTTGGAAGCAGTATAGATCATGCCACAAGACTTACACATGGTGGCTCCAAAATGTTTCTGACCTGCATCCTTCAATGCAGGGAAATGGGAGATATCAAAACGTATCACAAATAGCTCTACATTTAGTTCATGTAACCATTCATTCAAATTTCTCCTTACTTTTCTTTTATGCTGGCATAATTGAAATACTAAATGAAAGTCTGATTACTACATCCTCCTTCCCCTGCCCCTAAACAAAATGAAAGGGAATAAACTTAAAAATGTAATAAATTTAATGAAAGAAATGGAATCGTCTTTTGGAATGGGCAGTGTAAAAAAGATTCTTTAGCTAGACCTATAGTTCTAAGAAAGAATAAAATTAAATCATAAAACTTACAGCTAAGATGAACAATGGAACTTCTTTATTAGATTCTTAAATGGGAGACCTAAAAAAAGCCTTTTATTTCAAAGAGGCAGAGCAAAATTTTCAGGACTTCTATATTCATTATATAATATTTTTTCCCCTTAAATGTTTAGGAATGTTAAAACTCTTTGCCAAATTGATAAAAAAATAAATATTAATAAAAGTTAAAAAAAAGCACAGATAAATTCATGAATACAGGGAAGTCAGAAATATTCAGTGTCATGGCTTATTAACTCCCATTATATCTCATAAAGCATTGTTAAATGCTACTGAAAATACCATGTTCTGAACTGTCTAATATAGGGGCTGCAAACTTTCTGTAAAGGGCTAGATGGTAAATATTTTAGGCTTTACAGACCACACATAGTTTGTCACATAGTCTTCTCCTTTTTCCCCCAACCTTTTAAAAATGTAAAAGCTATTTTCAGCCCACAGGCCATGGTCCAGCCCACAGCCATAGTTTGCCAAATCCAGGTCTAATACTATGTAGCTATTTTCATTAAATCTTTTGTTGATCAACAGTAAGATTTCTTATCTGAAGACATCTCATTCATCAGCATTCTACTAAATTACTAGCATTGTCCAATAATATCAGTTTGAAAATATACTTGATTAGCTTTAAATGCTGCCACTAAAACAAAGCTGGCACTTACAAAACTCAGAATATCTATAACTCATGTTAACTATGCTAAGAAAACATGTCTGACTTCATGTTCTGTATGAGAGAGCCATGTACAGGAGGAGCTTTTTGTTTTAAATCTACTCACAATGATCAGCTGGTCTTTTGTTTCTTTATTTGTATCTCTGGCATTAGCACTTTTCTGTGTATTGTTCTGTTTCAAGAAGTTAGAAGGTGTGATGGATCCCACAGAAGACTGTTTCTCAACTAGAGATCTTGAAATAGAGAGTTGATAAACATTATTTAGTAATTTAAAATGTTTGAGGAATTACAATGAAAAGAAAACCGATGTGTATATAATATTTGCAGAGTACCCGGCAATTTTTAGTGCTTTCTGTCAGCTCTTCCCATCCCAGCATGCATGACCACAATCTCTTTACTTCTATCTTAGCAATTTTAACACTTTATTATATGTATTTGCTTAAATGCCTGTCCTCCTCCAGCTATAACTTCCTTGATAGCAGCACCATGTGGTACTTATCTTCACTTCTCTGAAAACTCAGTATAGTTCAGTACCACGTAGTACTCTATTAATGTTTGCCAAATGAAAGAATAAACAAAAAATGAAAGTTAGACCAAGAACTCAGAGAATCTATACTGTACCCAAAGTAATAAACCACAAGAAACTGATGATATCTCACCTTTTAGGTCCTACATAATAAGCAATCTCAAATGACTTAATAGTATCCTAGTTTTTCCTTATGCTATATTAAATTAGTTTACACTTTCGTCAGCTAATTGTGGTAATTTCAACCCTTAATAAACAGCCATGAAAGAAGATATAGGTGAGAAAAGACAAAGGTGAAAAAAATAGGAATATGGCCTTTGAAGGGAGAAAGCTGCCCATCTAACCCAATCTCTGAGGTGATTTAAGGTGAAGCACCCCAAGAATAGGAGCACTTGCTAGGAAGTTCTTGGTTCAGTACCTCTAGTTATATATCATCAAATAGAAAGAGACAAACCAAAGCTGCTTAGGAAAATTCCAACTATAAGAAACATCTTTTTCAGAGCTTTCGACCTATATGCTCACATCCACCCATGCCTCCTCCATCCCTCTCTTAGCTTTGACCAGGATAGTGGTAGCTTCAGCTAGGATTTATAATAGCATAAGTTGCTGCAAGTTATTTATTCCTTTGGCCACAGTTTCCTCATCTATAAAATGGGGGTAATAATGGTACCTACAACATAAAGTTGTAAATACTCATTAAACACTAACTATTACTAATATATTATCACTCAGGGAAGGCAATATAGCCAAATGGGCTTTGATTCACATATGGATTCTAGTCCTGGCTCTGCTACCTAATAGCTGTGCAACCATGGCTGAATTACTGTTTCATCAGCTTAAAATGAAATTGATAATAGTATATATCTTCTAGGTTGTTGTAAGAATTAAGTGAGATAATGGGTGTAAACTACTTATTATTAAGTTCTATATAAAAATGTTAGCAATTATTAATATTCAAACCCATAAAGATCTTTCTCATCTCTCAACTCTTACGTTATTATGAAGTTTTTATGAGATGATCTGATTTCATCTCCTATTCTATATATCTTAGAGGGGAAGAAAAAAATGCTCTCCAAATTCAATAGTATGAGAAAGAAAAAGAGACCCATAGAACTTATAATTAAATAATTGTTGAACATTAAAATAAGAGCAATTCCTACCTTTTTGTATTGATTGATGATGCACTGAAGATGGGATAGACAATGGACTCAGGAGAAACTGGTAAGGGAAAAAATCATAATAATTTGTATTACAAAATAAACTGAAAGTTTATATCATGAGATTTTAAAGGTTAATAAGACGAAAATACATTACTTGACTTCAAGACTTAACAATAATGAAGATAGTATGGTATTGGTGAAAAAAATAGATAAAGAGATCAATGGAACAAAATAGAAAACCCAGACCTATGCAAATACAGTTAACTGATTTTTGACAAAGAGGCGAAGGTAATTAAATGGAGAAAGGATAACCAACAAATAGTGCTGGAATATGCAAAAAAAATGACAACACTCATATATAAAAATTAGCTCAAAATGGATCACAGACCTAAATGTAAAACATGAAACTGTAAAAATCTGCATGAACTTGGGTTTGGTTATAAGTTTTTACATTAAAACACCAAAAAACACAATATATGAAAGAAAAATTAGACTTGATCAAATGTAAATGTTCTGCTGTGCCAAAACACTGTTAAGAGAATGTGAGAACAAGCCAAAGAATGGCAGTAAATATTTGCTATTATATTTCTGATCAAGAATTTGTATGCAGAACTCTTAAAACTCAACAATAAGAAAGCAATCCATTAAAAACGGGCAAAAGATCTGAACGGACAGTTCACAGAAGATATACAGATGGCAAATAAACATATGAAAGGTGCTCAGCATCATTTGCCACTAGGGAAATGCAAATGAAAAGCACAATGAGATCACTACATACCTATTAGAATGGTAAAATTAAAAAATAAACTGACAATAACAAATGTTGGTTAAGAATACAGAGTAACAGGAACTGCTATTCATTGCAGGTGAGAATGCAAAATGGTAAAGTTGTTGGTGGGACAGTTTGGCAGTTCAAAAAACAAAAGGATGGGACATACTAAAGAGAACTGACTTGAAAAGATCTTGCAATGGTTGACTAGAACAATTTGAGCAACAGAATAAATAATGTATTAGATTACAACCCAAAGTATAAAATATTCATGAGTCCATATTGATAAGAATCCTTGAGTCTATTTATTTATCTAAAGATTGAATAATAGGAGTTAAGAGACAACTCTTTCTTACTGAAGAATTCCAAATAATATATATAAATATTCCCCCTTCCAGGAGATGGAGCTTAATCCCCACCCTTTCCTGAAAGGGTAGGCTAGACTTAATGACCTACTTCCAAAGAAGAGCACGGAAAAGGGACAAGAATAAGTTTAGAGTGAAGAAACCTGGCACACTTAACCCTAACCTGTGGTGAACATGCAATGCAATATGCATATGACGTATTATTGAATTGCACACTTGAAACTTATAGGATTTTATTAACCAATGTCACCCCCCAATTTTTTTTTTAAAAAATGGTAAAAACCTGACCCTAACCAAGTAATAGAGGTTAACACCATCTGTAATGTGGATGCCAACACCCCCAGACCCTATGTGATGAGAAGAGTACTTCACTTCAGTTATATTCTTCCCGGAAACTCATTACGCCAAGTCTAATGATGAGAAAAACATCAAGACAAACCCAGATTCAGAGGCATTCTATAAGCTAATCTGGTCAGTACTCCTCAAGAATGTCAAGGTCATGAAAAATATGGAAACAAGGAAAACACTGAGAAAATGTTACAGAAAAGAGGTTACTAAGGAGACATGAAAACTAAATGCCATGTGGTACCCTAGACTGGATCCTAGGACAGAAAGAGGACATTAATGGAAAAACTGGTGAACTCCAAATAAAGTCTAGAGCTTAGTTAATAGTAATGTACTAATATCAGTTTCTTAATTTTGACAAAGGTACCATGGTAACATAAGATGGCAACAATGGGGAAAATGGAGTGAGGGATATACATGGGAATATCTGTACTACCTTTACAACTTTTCTACAAATTTAAAATTACTGCAAAATAAAAAGTTTATTTAAAAAAAGACCAAAATCAAAATAGTAGTTGATTAGAAAAAAACAGTACATTAAACGTGGGCTATTTAGTAAACAGCAAACTTTTACTTTGCATTGAAAAATAATTAGAGCTCATTTCTAGAAACAAGGCCAAGATAGGTGAGAGTCTGATCTGCTATGGGTAAGTTATGTAACCTAAGTCTGTTTTCTCATCTGTAAAATGCACATACAAACCTATTTCCCAGAGTAGTTGTGAGAATTAAACGATAAACTATAGTTACTAAGTAATAAACGTTTATCATGAATCTTGCCATATCCTTATACCACCTGGATTATTGATTCACTAAATATTTTTCTTTAAATACTTAGACAATGTACTGAAATAAATTAATGTTTAAAGAAAATTTTATAACTACTGTAAATAGAAAACCATTATTTTCCTGTTACATGTTCTATTATATCAGTGATAGCACAACCCATGGGAAACAATGCATACTAAACACTTAGCACTGCCTGGTACATACTGAACACCCAGTAAATACCAAATATTATCATTATGAACGATCATTTTATATATATGTATGTAAGTGTATATATATATATATATTTATAAAATTATATATGTATAAAATTAGATCTTAAGGGCTATTTTTCTAGATTATGCTTTTAGTTTTATCTTTTTATTTTCTTTCTATGAGCTACAGTTCCTAACTATATTCAGTATGTCTACTCTTAGAATTTTCATTTATTTCCAGATTTATAGATATGACCAACAAGGTAAAGTTACCAAGAATCTGCTTGGTAAGAAGAATGTTATAATTAATCTCTTTATACATTCACAGTTTAGTAAATACTGTTTAATTAAATAGTGATACCATAAGTGAGTAATAAAATTTCAGAACTAAGAGGAATTTAAAAGTTACTATTAATCTCTTACTTTAGAGACCTCTTCCCTGGGTCACATAGTTAAATTAGTGGCAGACGTAGACAAAACCCCAAGGTTCCTGATGCCCAATTTGGTGTCCTTTCTATGGCTTAGTAAATTTTGCTTATGATTGGGTTTTGATCACAAATATATAACATAAATAGTTTTTAGTCTTTCCTATAATTTTGAGTAAAAAGTTGGTAGGGTAGGTATGATGAGAACACCCAACTCTAGGGAGCTTAAATAACTTGGCCACATCCCACAGACCAATTAAGCATCAGTATTTTGTCTTAAGTTCCAGCCTAAGGTCTCCTTGTCTCCTCCTTTCAAAATGCACTGCATTGTTTACCACAGAAAACATTGTCACCAAGATAAATGCAGATAAAAACACAGGGAACAAATATTAAAAAAACCCAAAATATTATTGTATATGATTTTATATTGACACATGTAATGAAGCATTATTATAAGTAAATAAACTAATTTTGAGAAGAGAAGCTTTCTCTTCCTTACCTGCCTTGTTCTCACTGTGAGAATTTTCTGAAGGAAAACACTTACTTTCATCAGGTTTATGTTCCCTTGAAGAAATTACACCACTTGATGAATCCTGAAGATAAAAGGAAAGAAAACCTATAATTCTTAATCGTTTTCTATTGATTGAATGATTTCTAATAGATCTGTTTCTAAAACAAAATATCTACTTTATTATGAATTATATTTTATAATGTGATTTTAAATCTTCGATTTTCAGCCTATTTTAAGGAAAATTTCCTTTATGTTTACTGAAAGACAGGATATGTATATTTAAGTATGTAACTTGTTACCCTAACAAAAATGTATTATAATTCCTAATAAAGATGGAAGAATGGAGATTATAGAACATCCCTCTGTAATAAGAACCCCCCCCCCCCAACTAGTAAACATGGCAAAAATTTCCCCAGTAGCCACCAAACTGGAAAAAGACAAAGTTATAAGCTTTAAAAACAGGCAGCCAAGGGGAAAAAAAAAGAACATTCTGGAGTAACTGGAGAAGCTTCTAACTCCCGCTTTTTAGGCAGTAGCTGGGAAGTGAGGAAAGCAAAGTAGGAAAAATTTTGACAAATTTCACTAGCACTACTAATTTGGTGAGACTTAGAGAAAATATAGCTTGGGGGAAAAAGGAAAAAACTTTTAATTAAAGTAGAACTATTTATGACCATAATCTCTCAGTAGAGATGAGTCAACTCATCAGTTTGCCGTTTCTCATGGCTCCATAATAAGTTGGGAAAAGGTTATGTTACCAATAATGAAAACAGGATTCATCCTTAGCTAGTAGAGATGAATACTAGTAGTGGATATGTCACAAAATCTTGAGAGAAGAGCCCAGTTCCACAAATTTAAGATGCACAAAAGCCCAACTTCTCAGACTACTGAAAAGTAGACAAAACCCAATATCTAGTCCCTTAAAATGAAGCTCAGAAAATAAGGCAGAAAATAGTGTTGCAGAGAATTTACCACATCACTGTATCAAGGCTGAATCTCCATTACCAAATAGATATGAAGCATACTAATAAGGAGATGCCTGGGTGGAAATGCAGACCCTTACACACACACTTTGTTTTGCTGGATTGAGAATTAATTTTAGCTTGAGTTGTGCCCCAAATTTAAAAAAATATGTAAAATACCTCAATAATTTTATCTTCATTACATTAAAAGGGTAACATTTAAACTGTATCGGGTTAAACTTTTTTTAAAAAGCTTTTCAATGTGGCCACTAGAAAATTTTAAATTGCTTGTGGTTGATATTCTATTTGTATCAGACAGTACTAGTCTAAGCTAGCTGTTATTTATGAGGAAGATCAAAAAGCATAGAATGGCAACCATGAAAATATACTATATAAAATAAATGAAAACCCAACTATATGTTAACAGTGATCATCTCCAAGTAATGGGTTTACAGAAGGTATGTTTTTTATACTTTCTGTATTCTCTAAGTTTACTAGAATAACCTAGTAAACTTTAAAAAATAAGCTGAAACGAAAAATAATATGCTCGTGCTCTGAAAAGCTACTACTTCAATTTCGTTTTCTACTTTTTAAAAACACTGACTAACAAATAAAAGTTGTTAAACTTCTCCAGACTTTAGTCATGAGGGAATTTATTAAAATGTATACCTTAATGACAAGAAAATGTTGGTAGGCTTCCTTAAGCCAAAAAGGGAAGAAAAGTCCCATCTTTCTATCCTGCTTCTAAATTTTTTATAGAGATTAAACTATACTATTTGCTTTCATAAAAGCAATCCTCCAGACTGCAAAGGAAATAAAATTTTGTTCACCTGTACATATTATGTATATTGAAGTTTTGTTACATAGCCAACTTTGTTTTTAAAGTGATATATTTAGTTTTATTTACCTTTATTAGTTTCTCTTCATTTTCACTTGTACCCAGCAGCTCAATGTTCAGTTCTTTTTCGAGTAACATGCATTTTGGCACTTGTCTTGCCTTAAAACTTTTTTCACTGACGGTTTCTACATCAGAATCTTCAATGGCTTCTAATTTATTCTTTTGGGTGACTCCCAGTAATGGCTTATTTTCCACAGACAACCTTCTAAGAGAGGAATTTTTTCTACTAACAAAAAATGCCGCTCCACCCTGGAGTGTCACTTGTGGTTTGACTTTTTGGCTTAGAACTCGAGGAGCATTCACATTATTTTCAGCTGAATAACAATTGTTCTCTTTCTCTATAATTGGTTTATAGGCCACTCGATTTTGCTTAGAATTTTTAGAAATCTTTGATACAGGCTTGGTGCATTTATAACTTGGTTGATACTTAGAAGTTAAATTCTTCTGTGGTTTTTTGTTCATCCTCTTGGAGCGGACTGGTTTTCCCTGCATTTTTTCTGTCACACTGGGAAAAGATTTGTCTTCATTATTAGTTTTTAGACAAATGGATCTACTCTCTTTTATAATCTTTCTCTCCAATGGATTGAGGTAATACTTATCTTTGTTGTAAAAAGATACAGTAGACACAGCAGATTTAAAAGGTGAACCTTGATTTACAGAAGGTAATCTACTTTTTTTAGTTGTCTTGAGTGAATTTGAAACGAAATGGCTTTGTTGAGAACAATGCGCTTTTTCTTCATTTTTATCACTGCTTTGGCAAATGTGCTTTTGATCAGGTGATGAAAATATGTTTTCAGTAAAGTCCAAAATTAATTTCTTTGATGCAATGTCTGATAATAGGCTATGAAAAGAAACAAAGTCTGTTGTTAAGTATTGTTATTTTGCTTCAACTTAGATCACACTAAAAATAATATATCCTCTCCACCAAACATCCATTCATACACAGTTTAACAGTAGGATTCTCAAATTGTTTTTACCAAACAAAGCATTCAAATATCTTTCAAAAGTAAGATAGTGTTTGTGAAAACACTGTTTACAAAGAAGCTTTGATATACATGTATATGTACATATGTGTGTTTTAAAACCTATTTCTAAGTCTTAGCCACATACAAATTATAGCCCATATATTTTGCTTGAGTGGCTATAAGTACCCTAAAATGATTAATTCTATGTAATTAGGGCCTGTTCTGTGGGGAATAATTTATATCTGGTATGACATGTAGTAAATAATGAGTACACAGACTTTTTAAGAGTACTTACAGATGAGCATTTACTGTATGCAAAACACTGTTTAGTAGAGCAGAAAGGAGCAAGGTAATAAAAAATTTGACATACATCTCAAAGCCAAAGAAAATAGCTCTTTCTCTGATTCCCTCCAAAAGCATTAAATAATTCATTATGAAAGCTTACAGTATTTCTAGACCACAATTAGAATATCACTATAGCCACAAGGTGTAGGTGAGTGGAATGGAAATTTTTAAGAAATAAAACAGAGAAAGTAAGAAAGACAAGGTGAATTTTTCAAGAGTTTCTACCCATAAAATGAGACTCACTTGTCACGGTTCAAAGAATCCTGCTTCCTTTTCCTTGGAGAAAAAGCTGACATCTTCTTAATTGAACTCCTAAAGCAACAGGACAATTATAACAAAATTCATCCAATGCATATAAAAAATCACTCTACCAAAATTATACGTTAAAACTTGCAAAAGTTTTCAGATGTGTGATGGTCTAAAGACACAAAAAGGGGTTTGTTCTAAAGCGAAGCACTTTAATAAAAATTTAAGATATGAAGGTTTATTAAAGGAAAAACTACATCACAGTAGCAATTAAAAACAGGACATAAAAGCAGAGGATAGTACATGTTTCAAGCTAGAAAATGATCCTACTAAGGAGGAAATATTTTTCCATTGCAAGGCACACTTTCCCCATTAATTAGCTTAATTTATATCAAGTTTAAACACTCTTATCTTCTGGGTCTCCTTCCTCACCATTGCCCTCACCCCGCTCCTCTCACTGTTAGATGCTGCCCTATGCTTCCATTCCACCATACACTTCCTTAATATTCCATTTAACACCTTTTCTTATTGGTTAAACTGTCTCAACAGCCTGTGTGTCCAAAAAAGGCAGAGAGCGTTTGTAACTTTTTCATCAGAGTCCAGCAAGAAAACGAGTGAAGCATAATCTTTCCATTTTACTAGCCGACGACCAAGCCGCTCGTTTTCTTTATAAAATACCCTGACCTCCTAAGGCTGCTGAAAATAAACAACGATCATGCACCTTAACTCTAGAGCAGATGATATATTGCTCAGTAAAAGTTTTCCCTCCCCTTCCTTTGGATCAGGGTTATTTTTAAAAATTACACAAGCAGAAAGACCCGGGTCTCTGGGAATTAACGTCGAGCTGCGGCTTAAGGGAAGACCCCTTCTTCTAAGGCTGAATGAGGAAAGGTATGCCTGTCAGGGCAAAAAGACAAGAAAACTCGGAGTCAGGAAGATGGAAACAGGGTGACCTGAAATGTGGTGAACCGTTTGGTGTCTTCGGTCACAAGTCGCAGACGCGCCAAGCCCAGAGGAACCGCTTTTTAACTTGACATTCAATTCCACGTTCTAAAGAATCTCCCGTTCTCCTCCGTCTTCCACCCCAGACCTCGGCCCTCTGCAGCAGTTACCTGCAGCTCAGAGACAGCTACTTCTCTTCAGCCCAGCCAGAGCTCCGCCACTGTATTCAAATTATCCCGCGCCAGGCAAGGCCGAAGCCGCTGCGTTCTGATTCGTCGTTTCTCGGCGCTTTCAGAAGCTGCGTGGGGTGATTGGTCACGCACTATTCCTCGCCCCGCCACCAGGGAGGCGGTCTCCACGATTCTCCCGCCCTTGGGGCGAAAAAAGCTCTCTTCTTGGAGAAACCATGCCTTCCACAATCCCTTGCGGCTGCGCGGCACTCTGTTTCCCCAGGTTTTGTTTAAATGCATTCTGGGAATTGTAGTTTTCGGTAAAGGAGCCCTCTTGAACATTCTGGGGTCAATTGGTGTAAGCTATTTTTGTAAAGTAGCCTCTCTGAGATTCTCGAGGCAGTTCACATTTGAAGCTTTAGCGTTAGTTTAACCTTTTTTATTAGTAATACGTTAAATTTTTAGCTCATTTTTTATTTTTCAAGTTAAACTTAAAAAAATCATGGCGCATATCTGCCATGTGCCAGACATTCTTACATGCTTTACGCGTTGTATTTATTACTCACCACAATCTATGAGATATGTATAAGCATTCCCATTTTATAGAAACGAAAACCGAGGGCCTGAAAACAATTACTATTTATGGGAGATGGCTAGGTTCTTGCTTTGGGGAGCTAGAGGTTCCTAAAGCACTTTGGTTGTTAGCTACTGTTATCTTTGTGTTACCAGTTCCTGGTACCATCTCTGGCACATTTTTTAGTTCTAAATAAATTTAAGTGATGTACTTAACTTCATAGTATGAAATCTGTTAGAATGAAGTAAGAGAAATAGGTCAAAGCTAAGAGCTCTGTGAGCTTTACAGGAGTAAGATTACTACCACTTTACAGCAGGAGGATCTCTGAGGATCATTGATTTTGAATTTGCCCAATCACACAGGTCTTAAATTTATAGGCAGAACAACCTTAGTCCAACTCCGAGAGGCATATTGCCCCTGGGGAATATCACTAACAACTTAATTGAGTTATGTTCTAAACCCAGGGTCCCCAACCCCTGGGCCTAGACTGGCACCAGTCTATGAACTGGTACCAGAACTGGGCTGCACAGTAGGGGAGTGGCAGACCAGCAAGAGTAGCTTCTTCCGTATTTATAGCTGCTCCCCAACTTTAGCATCACTGCATCAACACCACCTCAGATCATCAGGCATTATTCTCATAGGAGCCCCGGTCTCTAGTAGCAAAAAGGTTGAGGATTGCTGTTCTAAACCCTTTCTGCTTATTTATTTAAACCTAGTAAAATAATCTATGAATTTGCTGCCCTATTATTTTTCAGATGAGGTATATGAAGTACAGAATGTGCTCACATGTATGCCTTACAAGTGGGGGTGCTAGAATGGGGAGAGTGGAGGAATTTGGTTTCATTCAAAATTTTTTAAACTACGAAATGTCAAGTACTGCGATTGGCACAGTGAACACTTAACTGTGAAAAAGGCAAATAGTTTCCGCACTCAGGGAACCCATATGGGGATGAACGGAAGCGGAAAAAACCAATAGATAAGCCTCAAGACTTGAATGCCCACTGGGTGGAGTTTCTGAACATAAAGTCAACCAACGAGCATTTTCCTTTTAAGAAGATGAAGTTTCCCTGCTGTGTTTTCTAACCAGCTGCCCTGGGACCACCCATCACCCTTGCCCTGAGGTACTCTAGCCCGCCAACACGCTCCAAGCCAAGATTAAAAATGGCGCCGACGGACCGGCGTTATGACGCAAACCGACGTCCGCCGGAAATGCGCGGAGGAGTTCCGGGGAACCGGCAGCCACCGCGCTTCTGGTATCCCGAGCTTGGCGAGTTGAGTTCTGCTGCTGCGCGCTGGAGTCGCTGCGCCGCCGCGATCATGGTCTTCTATTTCACCAGCAGTAGCGGTGAGTGGGTGTCACGACCTCCGGGGTTCCTGCTTGACAGTGTGTCTTTGAAGCCGGGTCCCCCAGGCCGCCTTGGAGCCTAGACCTCATCCTAAAGCGCCTCCTCGGCGGTGGGTGCCTCTTCCCGCGCCCTTTCGGTACCTCCGCGGTGTTCGTCCTTGTGGTCTCCGAGTGCCCTCTTGTCAGGGCCTGGGGGGCGTTGAGGGACCGTCCCCCCTGCGGCCTTTGCATCCGGGCGTTGTTTCCTTCACTCAGTGAGAAAGATCTTCCGTCGTTACTGGCATTGGGCAGAGTTTATGGGCTTCTTCACACCCCCATTTCAAGACCTCCTACCTACCCATGGCCTTTATTCTGGCTCTGCCCTGGTAATTACCTACTTTTGAGAAAGAGAAGAGATACTTGCCAACAAATCCGCCTTACAGGAAGTGCGCCTCCCCCTTCCAGGAAAGAGTTGTAGGGTCTGAGATGCAACAGAAAGCAATTAAAAGACCCTCGAAAGACGATACAGCCACTCACTGGGCAGGATTGATGTCCCAGATCTTGAAAAATGACAGGATAATGTTTCTGATTTGTTGACAGGCAAGGAAAGGGTGTTTTTAGTTCCCAGGAAATGCTGTGTCTAGCCTTCGTTTCTCTGCTTATATTATTCCTTTTGCTGGACTCAACCTTCAGTTAACTGCTACACCCTTAAGGACACCCACCTCTGGCTTGTCAAATGCCTTTCCTGAGCTAGCTCCCATCCAGAGATTGCTTATGTGTACCTCTTCCGGGACACCCTTAATACAGCTTTGGCATTGTGTACAGCGTGTATAGCTTTGGCATTGCACTTATCATATGGTATTAAACACACTCTGCTTGATCTATGCTAAGTCCCTTGAGAGCAGAGACAGGATCTCCTTATCTTGTTTCTCTAGCATAGTGCCTGGTTCATAATAGTTACTCATTAAATGCTTGTTGAATAAATGAACAGTATTTTTTGACTTACAGCACGCTCTATTCTATTGCTACTTTCTCTGCTTGGTTGTTAAAGGTGAAATTTAAGTGAAACTAGCAGTATGTTATGTGTGTGGCTTTAAATAGGGTGGTACTCTCCCTTTAGAGATGAGAACATTGAGGCCCAGAGAAGGCGTTACTCACAGACCCCCACTCCTACTCCATCACACTGTCACATCTCATTTTTTCTCAGTAGTGTAGACTTCTGCAGTGTGCCAAATGCTATTTCTCTGCCTCTGTAGATTTGGTTTGTCTTACCCATATTATTAAAATTACTAGAAACAAAATTCAAAGTAGCTCAGAAAATCATTATAGGCCCCTAAAAGCATTTTCAATCTTCCCTGTTATAAGATACCTTGAACATCTTTTTGTAGCTTCTCCACTCATGAAAGTCCTGAACAACATAGACATACGTACAAGCCCAAAATAGATTAAAAAGTACAGGCAGGGTATATAGGTACTAAATATATTTTCTTCTAGCTACTTTATTCTCCTTAAAACTTAAATCTGAATTTTTTGAGCACTAGTCATGCATACACAGATGCCCTTAATAGAGTGCTTCAGCAGATTTATGGGTTTTATTTTTCTCATTGGCTTCCATTATAATGTCAGAACTACTTCCTGTTGGAAAAATATTTAGCCTCTAAGTCTAATAAAACTGCACTTGTGCAGTAAATCTTTTAAAATTGCAAAGTTGATGGACAAATTATAACTTTCCAGTAAAATAGTAGTAAAACTACATATTCCAATACAGAAAACAACTTGAAACATACAGTCTTCGGGAAATGACTTTATATAGCCAAGCTTTTCAACCAACTGATGTTTACTACATAAAAACTTTTTTAAAAAATGGGGAGAAAATCTCAATAGAAAGTTTTTGTCTTTCCTTTTGCTTTAAGATTAGTATCTCTGACTAAAATCTGTTTAATTTTATTCTCTTATGCTTTCTCATAATGGAATAATGAAACATTAGCCTTATTATACTTCCAGTGTTAAATTCGAGACCATCTGATTTATGGACTCACAAAATACTTGGCTCATTTAGTCCACTTGTACTTTTAGGACCTTTTAATAGCATCTCCCTTAAGATAGATTATTAAGTTATCACAAGGCCTGCACCTGAATCGGGTGTCTTCAAGATGACTAGTTCCCATACTAATCAACCATATTATTTGGGTGAGAATAACAAAAGTATTGGAATAATTCACTTTTCCTTTATCCCTTTAACATGGACAGGAGCTTCATTCAGACCTCTTGCTCAACAATTGTGCTCTTTTTATTTTTAATTTTCTATTTTGACATTTAGAAAAGTTACAGGAATAGTAAAAGATTTCCTTTATAGCCTTTGCTCAAGATTCCCCAGATTCTAACATTTTACCACATTTGCCTTATCTCTTTTCCCCGTTTTTCCTTCATCTTTATCTCTCTCTTTGTGCATGCTTGTGTGCATATGCACACAGTTTTTCCCAAACTGTTTGTTAGTAAGTTGCAATTTACCCCTAAACACTTAAGTATTTTTTTCCTAAAATAAAAACATTCTTCATTGTTAAAATTAGGGAATTAACATTGCAAGAATACTATTATCTAATCAATTTTTACTCAGTTTTCATCAGTGTACTAATGTATTTATAACGAGGGGAAATTACAAATCATTGTTGCAGTCACTTGTCATTCATTCTTTAGCCTCTTCTAATCTGGAGCTGTTGCTCAGTCTTTGTCTTTCATTACACTGTTAGTTGAATTATTTTGCAGAATGCCCTCAGTTTAGGTTTGTTGAAGTTATGTTCTTAATCACTTCATTTTATAGGTCAGCTGTCTAGTCATCTGTCTTTCTCTTGGCCATAATTTAGATAGCTTGGCCTATCCAAAATAAAGAGACAGCTTTATTTTATTTTAATCATTTAAAAATTTTCTTTTGTTCTGATTACAAAACCTGTATTTTGTAAGCAAGCTAGCTAAGGTACCTAGTCTTAACATATGTTTATCCTGCCACACATTAAAGAAAATGTGCATTTAAAAATATAAACATGTATATGCATACACAATTATATATTTTTTACAAATTGAATCTTACTGAATATAGAAACACAAAAATACTGTTCTGCTATTTAATTTCTTCACCTACCCTTTCTTTTTAATGAGTACATGGTATTTTGTTTATGGATGTTCTATAGAGTATTTAAGCAGTCTTAATTAATGTTTAGGTTGTAAAAAACATTATTGTTTGATGGAGTGTTTAGTTAGTAGGATATAGTCCTAGTGGTGACGTTATAGGACCAAAAGAGTATACACATAATAATAATATTTCCAGGTCGTGCGGAGAATCTGAAGCACTTTTTAGTTTTATTCCTACACTTCTCATCACGAAATATACAGGCAATGGTGAATTTAAGAATTTATGAATGAAAGAGTGCTACTCAGCCTTCAGAGCTCTACTCACATGTGGTTGTTCTGTATTCTGGAGCTACAGTCAACAGGCTGCCCAGCCCAACCTTGTACCTATTTGTCAGGTTTTATAGACTGAGGGCCCAGTGACAATTAATTCATGAGTTTAGATCCAAATGGGGTTAAGTAAGTTTTAGTAGACTAGCTTGGAAACCCAGTACCCAGTTAGAATTTCAATTGGGAAACTTAACTTTTTGTTTGACTTCTATCCTAATGGAGGATTGCAATAGTGAAACATACTAGCTCAGTAAAGCAAGTGTTTTTTCTTAGGTAAGCCATACCCAGAATATTCAGTTTGATTTAGGATAGTGGGTCCTAATGCTGACTTCACCTTAGAAGATCTATCTACACATCGCCTGCTCCCCACCCCAGAGATTTGTATTTGGTTAGTCTTAGGTGGATCTAGGGTAAAATTAGGTGATTCTAATATGTAATCAGTGTTCAGAGTCACTGATTTAGAAGAAGTTTGAGAGCCACTTGCCCCTGAACGGGACAGGGAACCCAATTATAATTTGCAGCACACCTGGAATGTAACTAGTATTGGCTTAATAAAATTATGAATAATAAAACTTGGCTAAGTATAGGAACCTATTTTTAAGTAGTTGAGGTGAAGGTTGGTTTTTTCTTTTTAAAAAATTATTTTGAAGAAGGCCCAAATACAGGACTGAACTGGAATTGCATTGAACTGTATCCCTGAGAAAGTAGCAAAGTAGCCATTTTTAATAAGGGTCAGTAAACTTTTTTTTGTTTGGGCCAGAGACGAACTATTTTAGACTTTGTGAGCCACATACAGTCTCTGTAGCTTATTCTTTTTGCTTTTTTCAGCCTGTTAAAAATGAAAAAATCATTTTTAGCTCTAGGACTGTCCAAAATCAGGGCCGAATTTGGCCTATGGGCCATGTTTTGCCAAACCCTAATCTAAGCATTTGTCACTTGTTTTTCCCATGAAACGGTTTTGTTGGTGATGAAGTTATCTAACCAATTTTTATTTTTGTTTTGTCTTAGTTAACTCATCTACTTACACTATTTACATGGGAAAGGATAAATATGAAAGTAAGTTTTCAAAAGCACTTGATTTTGAAATTTCCAGCAGGTAAGTGTTAATTGCCTGTTCTCTCCTTGGTTTATTGGCTATGAGTTTTCAACTACTACCAACTAACCGACTATAAAGAACTCCGGAGAATTAACTCTCCTAGAATTTAGTTTTATCAAATAATATTTGAGCTAATTTGACCTGTTGCTCATTAGAAACTTACTTTACAAAGAGTTTTGTGGTATCATTTGATTTAGGATGATAAGAATCAGGGGTTAACTTATGCTAGTTTAAACAAAAAATAATCTGTTACTTGGACTTGAAAAGATCATTATCTGTACATTTTTACTACATTTAAGATTAGTGGAAACATATCTGTTGGTTTTTTTGAGGCTGCAGTTGGCTCTTTTTAAAACATGAAATGTTAACAGTTTTTATCTAATGTTGACCACTCTTTTCAGAATGAAATATATTATTTCATACTGCACACATTCCTATAACTAAAATAAAAATTTACAAAAAATTACCATATCATTTACTATGTCCTCTATTTTCATTAGTTTTATTTCATTTTTAAAAAGCTAGTCTCAACCTGCTAAATTAATTTTTCACCACTAATGAATTTGAACTAAAGTTTAAAAGAAGCGCATTGCTTCTTTTTTGACTGCACTAGTGAAGAGGCAGATGAAAGTGAAGTTTAACTTTCTTGATCAGGAGAGCAGTGAGTTGACAGCACTATCCCTCAGGGTGTGGAACTGCACCCTGAGCGAGAAAAGAACAAGAGTGCTTGGAGAAAATGGCAGAATTACCCTAATTCAGCTTGGAAAACACAGCTGCTCTTCTCGTGGGGATAGTGCATTGTTTTGGAAAAGCTAGCTCTTAAACCAGGCCAATCTGGGTTAAAATCCCAGCACTTTAGCAAAGTAGCTATTGTTACTTAACCTTGTATTTCTTAGCTGTAAGAAGAGGATCTTGGATGATATCTACCTTGCAGGGTTGCGAAGGTTAATGAAAGAGCCTGGGTAAGTGCCTGGGCCATAGCGGGCAGTCAGTAAGTTGTAGTCACCTTCACTGGAGCTTCTTTAGCTCTCTAAAGCCACCTCCTCCTTCCCCTGTGAACACTCCAGGGCTGGATGACTCTCCCTCAGGAAACTGAGAGCTGGCTATTCACTGCAGTCACCTTTCTTTAACCTTCAGTTATTGCTTGGTTTTTTGGGTTCCCTGCCCCCAAAACCATCAGTGTCGATTCTAGGTGCAGTTTGAAACTGACAACAGTTTAAACTTGATCCTTTAAAAGGCAGGTTTAATATTCTTCCATGTGAGACATTTGACATTAATGAAATAAATAAGGCCAAAAAATTTTTTTTTTTACATTAATGAAATAAATAAGGCCAAAATTAAAAGATGTCAAAGCTCTAGTTATATAGTTAATACATATACTTATATATAAAATATAATATATATAGAATATATATAATGTGATATACGATAGTTATGTAAACAGTTATGAATTATATCTAAATAGTTTATTATCTTCCTATAAGACTGGTTGTTTTAAACAAAATCAATATAAGCAAGACTATCACATCCTAGCCAAGAGGAAAATCAACAACAAAATAACTCATTTTAAAACAGTTTTTCCTTATAATGAATTTGTGACATTGACTTTGGTTGTGACTTAATGGAGAAACTTTTTGCAGTACATTAATATTTCAATTTTATATTTCTCTTAATAATCCATAAATTGTCATAGATAATTTGTATTTATCTCATGGCATTTTCCCAATGAATGTAGCTGAGGAAGGAATGCTACCTTCTTGTATTACATTGAACAATAGGGCAAAGTTACAAAAACCATGGTTATTTACAGTAGTTAGGCATCCAAACCTGACCAAATCTGCTTTTCTTTCTGCCATATCACAGGTGTAAGACCAAGGGTGTAAGCTCTCAGAGGTCACTGAGAAGCACCTAAAACAGAACTGCTATGTGTGGTTGTGCAGGTTTTGCCCTGTGCAGGTCTGGGGAGGGTGCTTTATATATTTCTTCCAGTGAAGAGCCGCATTGAGTCTGGTTCACACTGATGGGCTACCAGTGGTGCTGACGTAAGGCAGCTGTGCTAGGGACATTCCCACCATCTGTTTTCTGTCCATTTTGGTTACTCTTTGCTGGGTCCATCTTTGTGGGGCTGTGTGCCACCCTCTGTGAGTATCTGAAGAGGAAAATTGAGGCTGCTTTCACAGTATTCAGGTGAAGGCACACACAAAAACAAGTATGAGTCAATTTTGCTGTGAACTTCAAAATACTCTAAAAAATAAAGTCTATAAAAAGTATGACAAAATATATTAATGTTAGTAGCAAATGCTATAGAAGTAGAGGGGGCAGAGAGAGTAAATGTGGTGAGAGAGGGCTGAGAAGGCTGTGGAGGAGTGGGTTAGGATATGCTAGTTTGTGAAATTCTTTAAATGTCTGTTGTAGGAATTTATATCCACAAATATAAAATAAATCTAGATGTAGGATTATATCTACATATATAAATTTAGATTCTATCCAGCGTCCAATGGCGTCGTGTTTTGCTATCATTAAAATATATGTAGGAAAAATCTAGGTTTAGAACGCTTTTCCCCCCAGAACTCTTGAAGTCATTTGGAGGCGCCAACTTTTCTAGTCTGCAATGTAAGAAAGGTATAACATTGTTAAAACACCCTGTCCTGTAGTGCTCCTAGCACATCACACTTATTTCTAATAGCCTTGATGACTTCAAGGGCCAGATAGAATATAAATGAAATTTATATCAAATTATTTTTCACTAAAAAGCTTTCAGGTGTGTTCTTTTTATTGTCCAGCAGATGTCACTAAGGAGCCAAACATTGTCTGAGGAAGAGGTTTTTAGATTTCTCTTTACTTTTTCTGATTACCTGTTAGCTGTTAGCTCAGCTTCCCACTTAAGCTAGTAGAAAGCCCTTCAGAAAACTCACGGTGTCTGCAGTTTCTAAGTGTACCCTCATCCAAGGATTATCAACTTCTTGCTTTTCTGGAAAGTAAATACCTCCATTCAAGTTAGATAGATTATACTTTCTTGGGTACATTTTAAGTCATATGAATCATTTTGGTTACCTCACAGTTTTTAACTTTGTGTCTGATATTTTACATAATTATTCTGTATTAAGCACAATTAGTTACTAATTATTCATATGGCTATTAGAAGTATAAGTGAATATAATTTATCTGTGGCGATATATATTACTGGCCTTAAAAACTTGCATAAAATTTGAAAACTCACTTTTTAGAAACACTTTAGAGAAATAATCAGAAATTTGGACATATTTCTTTAAAAAGTTTATTGAAGCATTTATAATTGGAAAGAACTCAAATGTCAACAATAGAAAAATTTATTCATATAATAGAATTAAGTAGTTATTGTTTCTAAAGAACTTTTTAAAATCTTACTTTTACCTAACATACATAGTTTAAAATTTTAAATAGTAACAGAATGCTTATGATAAAAAAAATCAGTTCCCGACCTCATCCTTTCCAATACCCACATTCTACCCCTCCAAGACAGTTACTTTTAACATTAAGCTTTTTTTTTAATTTTATGTTTATTTTCATATGTGACAGAATTTTAAGCAATTTCTATTTTCTTTTTTGTACTTCTGATGTTTGTTTTATTCCCTAATTTTCTATGATTTTATAATTGAGGGTTTTTTTTGGAAAAAGTAAAATGTAATCCATCGGTTTTAAAGTTTTAGCAAAACCATTTTGATGTATAAGCAGTATTACAGTGAATCAATTTTCTAAGACATCTAACTTCTCAGCTGCTCTGATTTGTCAGCGTTTACCCTCAAAATAGAAATTTCTTTGAACTTTAGATTATACATATAAAAAGTTACAATGATCATAATTTTCCAGTTGTAAAAACTATTTTTACAAAATTTTCAAGCATCAGGGTCTCTCTGAATTACTCTTCGCCATATTAAGGGAGAGAAAAAGTTGTGGAAAAGATAGATATTTTTCCCCTTCCGATCTATAAACTAGCATATTTTCATTTGACAGTTATTTTTATTTATTTATTTGTTTTACTTTTTCTTTATTCTCTTATATCTCCTTGTAGATGAGGATCTAATAAAGTATGGCTGGCCTGAAGATATTTGGTAAGTAACAATTTTGGTTCTGCTTTCAATGGATCATTGTTTACTTTCTTAGACTTGGCCAACCACCTGACTGTTATGATTAAACTAGACCTTGTCCTTTGTATTTTGTTTATCAATATTCAATGGTAAATAGCTGGCTACCATCTCTCTTCATTTATAATTACCATGTAAACTGGGAATGATGTCTTAAGGTTAGATCTCAGGCTCTCGAAGGCCTGCAGAACATAGGCTTTCATTTGCCTCCTGTGTGTCTCCTCATAGTAAGTTACTGAGACCACTGCACTTACATGTTCAGACCACTCTTCTTGAGTGGATGTATGAAGACTTCACAAGAAGCATTGAAGACAATATACACAAGTTTCCGTGTAGATGGAATAAATAGAGCATCTGACCAGATCCAGCTTTGAAGAAAACACAGACTGGGTTCCCTTTGTTTTCTCAACTCCCTCATGAGTTTAGCCCGGTCTTGATCCAGCCTCTACCTTCTCTTTCTAAAATAATTTGTGGAAATTTAAAAATAATAATATGTACTTTCTTAGTCTCCTTCCAAGATAATTTATTTTGTAGCTTATAAAACCCAGTCCAAAAAAAACCCAAACAATAAAACAATCATCAACAACAACAACAACAAAAACCCTTTATTTTAGTTGAATTCTTTTCCTGACTGCCTTAGAAAGCCATATGAGTTTTTCTACCACTCAGACCCAGGACCTTTTAGGAATTCATGGACTCCGAGTACTTTGTTTTTTTTTCTTGTAACACTCTCAGACTCAGTTTGCTTACTTTTTGTATCTTCAGCTTCCACCACTCACTCTGACCCTTGTGATATCTCTCTCCTAGAGCTTTATTCTATCTATAGAGCAGGATATGGTCTCCACATCTTCTAACACCCATACCATGTGCTGTCCTTGACAAATCTTGTTGCTTTAATGATAGAAATAATGAATATTTATTGAGCACTTAACTATATGCCAAATACTGTTAAGTGCTTACCTCCACTAATACATTAATTTTTATAACAACCCTGTGAAATAGTTACTGATATTATGCCCATTTTTCAGATGAGGAAACTAAGGCTGAGAGAAACTGAATACATCTACTTTAGTTCTTGCTGGCCCTCCACCCAGTTCTAGTGCACCTGGATCCCTATCCCCAGCTGGATCATTTCAGATGTCCCTAAAGCCTGAAGATCTCCAGATTCTATCAAGGGAGATAAGAACAGCTGCACCTGTTATGTAGTTATTTTCTGTTGTTTTTAATATGTCAGGTTTGAGGCAGAACTATCTGCATAGAAAAGGTTGTATATTCAAATGTACCATGAAAGTCAATTTGCCACAGCCTTTTTATCTGACATACAGGAAAAAATTAAGTGGAAGAGAAATCTCCAATTTATAACCTACACCCCATGTATTATGACTTGGGTTTTTCACTTCATTAAGATTGACCGTCTCCTGGAATACTACTAAATCAAACCAGTGTCTACAGATACCTAGACACCCATTACCCATTTTGACACTCTTAGTCATTTTGAGATTAATGACTGTTGTTAAAAGTGATTGAATTTTACTTTCAGAAGCTATTTGAGGTCTGATGTGAACTGAAATAGCCCTAAATTCAAGACCTTTCCTGGTGCATAAACTATCAGTCCTGGAAACATTCCTGGACATGCTGAAAATGGTTCTGTTGATTTACATTTTCCAGGGCAGATTTTCCTGCTTCACTGGTTCACTCTGATGCAGACTTTGGAACTTTACCTCTATGAATGTCACCATCTGAGTTTATACCAGGAAACCTTCTGAGGTGCCTTTAAGCAAAGGATTTTTCTAGGAGTAAGTGAGAATGGAACTAAATTTATCTTTAAACAAAGAAAACTAGAAATAGTGTGCATTTACTGCCTCCAGACTGCTTAATAGGTAGTATTTCCAGGGATCCCACTTTAAGGAGTTAAATGACCCAGCTTCTGGGGCCCTGCATCTTTTCACCCTCAGGTCATTGATTCTCATTTATTAAAGTTTGTAGTTCCTGCATTCTGTAAAGGTAACATGATTAAGCAAGGAAGAGGAAGATAATAAGGACAAGAGGGAACTAGGGAACTGGTGGGCATAATTTAAACTTTGAGTTAGCATTTTGAGAAATTTGGAAAAGTTTTCTAAGGAAACTTGTTCAAGGTAGTTTGTTAATTGGACTTGGTTCTATAGTGTAGCAGTGGGCACGTTTGCTTTACACACAGTAGGTCCCAGGTTCGCACCCCAGTGGAGCCACAGTCCGTGGTCTCCGACCATGCCACCCTGAACAAGCCCAATGTCTGATCTCGGAATCTAAGCAGGGTGGGGCCTGGTTAGTACTTGGATGGGAGACCACCTAGGAAGACCAGGTGCTGTAGGCATAAATGATAATATTAAAAAAAAAAAAAAAAAAAGATAGTTTGTTAACAGAGTTGGCTCTTTTGTTTGTTTGTTTTACATTTCAGCCAAAGCCCCACACTTATATGCATCCCCTTGCCTTTTGTAGAGGGGCACCTATGAACCTGAAATTGGTGGGTATCAGCAGTGATATTCCCATGCGTGTTTTAGTACTTGAACTAATTATGTATGAATCTGTTAGATGTATATTGAATTATTTGTGTATTTTAGGGGGTAAAATTTCACACCAGAGACCTTTACAAAAAGTGAGAATACAATCGACCTGTTATGGGTATATAGGAGAGTTGTAATTAGAGAGGTGGCTTAAAACAAGTTGAAATGGGAGAAGTTGCTTCTCAATTGGGCTTGCTTGCTAATGGGGTATTTTCCTAAGATCTTGAAAGAGGATAATGAGATATATAGTTTCTAGATTTGCAAAAACATTTTTCTCAGTGGAAAATGCCAAGCTAAAGACAGTAATCAGAAGGAATCTCTTACATGGCAATGCAAATGAGTAAATGAACCAATTGGAGAAAAATAAGCTCTCTGTAATGGTTAAGAATAAAACCTAGAGTCGTCATAGACTGCCCAAAGTGCATATTTTTCTCTATCCAGAGTGATGAGCAAGATGCTTAACCTCTTTAGAGAGGACGTTGGAAACAGCATAATCTTAACCTTTGTTATATAGGATTACACTGTCTACGTCTTGGACTCGCGATGAATGTGTGACCTTTGTCATGTAAAAGACATTCATGCTAAGAAAATGTCTAGAGAAATACATAATGGGATGTGATAGTGCCTCTTTAAGATTTTACTGAACATTCTTCAGCCTGGAAAAGTAAGAACTAAAGAAGAAATGACCGAAGTCAGCAGAATCAGAGTGAGAATCATGTGTTAATCGTTGTTTGATACTAGGATTCTGCGGGCATCTCTCTGGAAAGAGAAAGTCAACTTCATTTGGTGAATTGCAAATATGAAAAACTTAATATCCCAAAATGTTGGACTAGGTGAAAAAGGAAGTAAGTTTTAAAAGATTTAATTAAATTGGTGGGTGATGGAGTCTTAATGAAAGGTACATTTAGGACATTGGGGTGGGAGGGGATTCTGAATATTCTTAGGAGAATATCATAAAGGGCAATCACCATGCTCTCCCAGGAGACATATATTAGTGCCATTTTCAGATGTAAGGCTGGGTAAATTACTGGTCTGACCCACCTTACAGTGTGGTTGCTTACTGTCTTCCATCCTCATGGCTCTTCCAACTCTGTGCTTGACATTCTCTTTGGATTGTTTTGCCATCACTTGAAACTCAGGATGTCCCAAACCAAACTCATCTTTTTCTCTAAATTGGTACCCTCTCCAAGTATAGGATATCTCTCCCAGACTTGCAGCATTGGAGTCTTGCTGACTTCTTTCATTCTCTTCTCTTCTCACCTGAAATTCTTCCCTGTTTTCTTATGCTTCATTCGAGGACCCAGCAAATCTCAGTTGTCAGTGAAGCCTTTGGTCACTGATAGCTTTTTCTCACTTAAAATATCACCCTTCCCAGGGCATGTAACATTTACTGCCTGTAGTACTCATCTCAGCTCTTAGTGTCACACAGCTGCAGAACTTTCCATATTTATCTTCTCCCAGTAGATAATGAGCCGTGGAGGTGGCGACTATGTTTTATACTCCCCATGACGCTTAGCATGTGGTAGGCACTGAGGTAATACTTTCTGAATTGGAATGCTTTAAATACAAGTGGTCCGAGGAGATGGTTGTCTTGTATCTCTTGCTAAAAGTGGTTTTCATTCTTCGTAGGTTTCATGTGGACAAACTCTCTTCGGCTCATGTATACCTTCGATTACACAAGGTAAACTGGATTTAAACATGGATTCATGACTTGTTCTTTAGTGATGAGCATCATACCTTGTTCTCCATCCTTTTTCTGCAATTAAATTGCTTAGAATAATAAATATGTACAAATCTAAAAATTAGCAAATGAAGAGATGTCTTCCCCCTCACCCAGAAAATCACTAAGGGAAATTCTGGTGATTTTTGAAACTTGGACATAGTACACATTTCCCAGCTAGAAGCACTATCTTGTCCTGCCAGTTCAGGTGTGCTTCTGTCACCTCTGCTTTCTCTCTCTTTCATTTCAGTTGACACTACTGGACTTTGTATCTTCTCTAATGCAGAGCATGTTGTGGTTCCTTTCTCTCAGGTTCATGTGATTCTCCTGCCTCACGAAGGGCAGATGTTCCCAGCTTTCAGGGGCTTCTTTGGAAGATTTAAAACAGTACTATAGTAGTAAAGGAAGATGATTTAATGTTCCCTAGTAACATAAACCACTATTTTTCAACCTGTCTTTATAACATTCATATATGAATGTTATAAAATATAATATGTTTTATATAGTTGAATAATAGGGTGTATATATACTTGTTATGGGTATTGCTTTTTTTTTAATGTTTGATTTTGGAATAATTTGAGATTTACAGAAAAGTTGCAAAGAATGCAGAGTTCCCCTGTTCTCCACTCCTAGTTTCCCTCATTGTTAATGTCTTGCATTACCGTGGTAGATTTGTCAGAACTAAGAAGCCAGTGTCAGTAACATTAACTAAACTGACTCACCAGTTTTTCCATTAATGTCCTCTTTCTGTTCTAGGATCCAGTCCAGAGTCCCACACTGCATTTAGTTGTCATGTCTGCCTATTCTCTGGTCTGTGACAGTTTGTCCCTCTTTCCCCGTTTTTCATGGTCTTGACAGTTGGAGAAGTACTAGTCAGTTATTTTATAGAATATAACTCAATTTGGGTTTATCTGCTGTTTTTGTAATGTCTCAACTGGAGTTATGGGTTTTGGGGAACGAATATCGCAGAGGGTGAAGTGCCCTTTTCATGCATTAACGGGACTGATCACTGATGGTGTTAACCACGATTGCCTGGCCAGGGAAGTGTTTGTTAGGTTTCTCCACCGCAGAGTTGCTTTCTCCCCCATTCTATACTCTGTTATATGGAAAGAAGTCACTAAGTCCAGCCCATGTTCAAGGAGAGAGGATGGAATTAAGCTCCACTTCCTGGAATGGGAAGTATTTACATATATTGTTTGGAATCCTTCTGTAAGGAAGATTTGTCTCTTTCCCCTATTTATTCACTTATTTATTTGCTTCAGTATGGATTCACCTATTTATTTTATACATTGGGTTATAATCTAGTACTGTGTTGATGCTCACATTGTTCTACCTTTGGCTGGAGCTGTCAGCTTGGTTCCTGAGCTCCTTTGATATGCTCCCATCCTTTTGTTTTTTGAGCACTTTCTTACTTTCTGACACAAAATGCTCCAGGGTCATCTTATACTTTCTCTGCCACTGCCCTAGAATCAGCTATTTCTCCAAGGAACCTTGGTACCTTTTATTAGAGAACGGTATTTAGAAACCAGGATCTGGACTCTGGTGTGTTCATTGCTTCTAGGTCCTCTCACTTGACAGAGCTAGGAAATACACATATGTATACTAACCCACATATACACTCTATAAATTGTTTCTGTATCTCTCCCTCTGTATCTTCATCAAGCTAAACAGGAGCTCAAACTAATATCTTCGCTGAATCCCTTACTACAGGGGCCATTCTAGCCTTCCCTCCTTGCTTATTTGTAACTTCCCTTTCAAAGAGTGAGAAGCCTGTTACCATCCACCATCCATTTGATTATTTATTTGACTTCAATATATGTGTAAGTAGTGTCAGATTTATTAACCTGTATCCCCATAAGAAACAGTTTTATCAGCTAAGGAAAAACCGCACAGTTCATGTGCAGTTATTTTTGTCTTTTTGCCTTACAGTTTCCAGTCAAAACACTGATTTTCAAAGTTACTCGTAAGCTGCTCCACCCCTCTCCCCGACCCAACTCCCTTCAGTGATGTTGTCGTGCACTTGTAATATATTTAGATTCTTTTGTCTCAGTCTACATTTTATCCTGGCATCCCCTGGTTGATTGTTTTATTTTTCAAAGTGACAGTTTATGAACTTTTTCATGTTACTTTATTATGTTCATATATATTATTTTGGCTGTCTGCTTTGAGTTGGTAGCATGCCACAATTAATAATGAAAGCTTCTGTGTTAGAATTTATGTTTACAGTTTTTAGCATTACGACTCTCCAATAAGATATATCTTTTTATGAGCTGTTTTTTATTTTTCTTTCGAATTATTTTTTAGAATAATTTTCAGAAATGGAATTACCGGGTCTAAAGATATAAAGTTTGGTAACTTCTTTTTATGCCAGAGTGCTCTGAAAGTATTGTGCTAATTTAAAATGCTGTCAGATATAGATAGGTTTTTCAAACACTTTTGGGGATTTTATAACCTTAAAAAAAAAAAAGGCAGCCTTTGACCACTTCAGATAAATACAAGATGCTTATTTCATTATAGTTATAATATTCACTGTGGCTCATCTTTATACTGTTAATAAGACAGGTACTGTTTGCTCCCTTTTACAGATGAGGAAACAGGCACAGTTAAGTAACTGTAAAGGAGAAGAGGAACATTGTAAACTCTGTCCTGGAGCAAAATTCTGAATTCTAGGCAACTTCTTGCCATTTTGGAACTATTTTAAATTTAGAGAAAATAGAGTGGGGTATTATCAAATTTCCTTTGGGTTCAGATTAAAGTTTTTCCTTTGGGTTCTGCTGTGTTAGAAAATGGAAATAATGGTCATCCCAAATTCATGGTATCGCCAGTGATTACTTGTTTGAATAGAAGTTTAATGTTATTTTCTTTTGGAAGTACATAATATGCTCAATAAAAATATATGCTCCTTAGGAACTTTTACCTGGTTGATCTGCAGTAAACAGCACAGCCCTTTGTTACCTAGCATGTACCAAGTAAGTGTTGGAGTTGCTGTAAGACTAAGTGGTTCAGAACCTGGACTGTGGATTTGAATCTTGGCTCTGCTGCTTACTAGCTATGTGACTTAGAGCAAGTTACTTAACTGTGCCTGTTTCCTCATCTGTAAAAGGGAGCCAACAGTACCTGTCTTATTAGGTCATTGTAAGGATTAAATGAGCTCACCTATCAGAAGCATTTAGAATAATGCCTGGCACATGCTAAGCACTATATGTGTTAATTCTTTTTGTTGAAGTCACTTGAACGCCAGTGATTACTTGTTTGAATAGAAGTTTAATGTTATTTTCTTTTGGAAGTACATAATATGCTCAATAAAAATATATGCTCCTTAGGAACTTTTACCTGGTTGATCTGCAGTAAACAGCACAGCCCTTTGTTACCTAGCATGTACCAAGTAAGTGTTGGAGTTGCTGTAAGACTAAGTGGTTCAGAACCTGGACTGTGGATTTGAATCTTGGCTCTGCTGCTTACTAGCTATGTGACTTAGAGCAAGTTACTTAACTGTGCCTGTTTCCTCATCTGTAAAAGTTTTTGAGAACTGTAAAGGAGAAGAGGAACATTGTAAACTCTGTCCTGGAGCAAAATTCTGAATTCTAGGCAACTTCTTGCCATTTTGGAACTATTTTAAATTTAGAGAAAATAGAGTGGGGTATTATCAAATTTCCTTTGGGTTCAGATTAAAGTTTTTCCTTTGGGTTCTGCTGTGTTAGAAAATGGAAATAATGGTCATCCCAAATTCATGGTATTGCCAGTGATTACTTGAGCTCACCTATCAGAAGCATTTAGAATAATGCCTGGCACATGCTAAGCACTATATGTGTTAATTCTTTTTGTTGAAGTCACTTGAATTAAATCCAGACCCTGAAAATCACAGATATTCAGTTGTGTTTTTTCTTGGGCTTCTTTGAGTTTTAAAAACCCATAGAAAAACCTCACTTTTCTAGAACTTTCTTATCTTATTAACAGAGATAGCACAAAGCCCACAGTTAAAATTCTGACCTTTACATATTGAGAGTACCTTAAGCTCTCCACTCAGAGTTTGTTTACTCTGACTTTATGCATAATGCTAAGCTGAATGAGTTTTGTCTGCTCATATTATTAGAAGTTGCAAAACAGGAAGAGGAGATTGCTTCAGGAATAGTGACAGCCACAGGTAGTAAGAAGAGATATTGGACATAGCCTGACATCAAGGCCAACAAACTAACATTTCCACAAGAACTCTGTAGGCAGCATACTCTGTGGCCAGTTTTTAGAACATGTATTTAGTCCTGGGTTTATCTCTCAACTCTGTCACTTACAAGCTAGCTATGTGGGACCTTGACCCAGTTACTTAATACCTGGCATGTGGTAGGTACTCAAAAACTGGTAGCTGTTGTTTTAGTTTTTTGGTTTTTTTTTCATTTCGATTTATTTAGTATAAGGCCAGTTGTCTCCTGTGAATTATGGAAGCCCCTGAAGGTATCACTGTCACTATATTATAGCCTAGTATAATGATTGATATTCATAATGATGACATTGTATTATTAAGATATTCTTTCAGCAGTCAGGGAATTTCACAGAATGAGATGCATCGCTAAAGTAGTGACAAACTTACATTTTTGGTTAAAATTTATGTATGTGAGAGATTCCCATTTAAAATATTTAACATAAAGAAAAAAATATAGAAACATAATGAAAAACACTTAATTTATCTCAAATATTCATGTAGGTAGAACATTTCATTCCCAAACTGAAATGCTTCTGTAATCCCGTGCCTAGTTGGAGCCAGTACTGAGTTGATTTCCACTCGCTCTTGCCTCTTAAATATTTCTGTCTGTTCTTTTGGAATGGCTTTGTTTAGTCAGCTTTGACTTTGATACGGTATCTGTAGAGAAAATGAATCAATATTATTTCTCTCTAATGGCTGATAGTTTTATCTGACACACCAAGGGTTTGCTTCCTGTTTAAGGCTGAGGATAGGTGAACTACTAGATGTTTGGAACTCACAATTGTAAGATATCTCTTTGAGAGGAACGTCATAGGCACCATTTCCTCATAAGCTTTGTAGAAGTAAGAATTAGAAGAAGAAAGAGGGAGAAATTACTCAGCGTATTTACAGTTAATATTTTGGTGGTTTTCTTTCATAGCCTGTGTTTTTTTGCCTTTTCTTAGTTTAAATAAACATTCCCATAACAGACTTCGTTTTTTCAGTGTTCTGAAATACAATTGAAGAGTCCCTGTTTTTAATAAAATTGTGCCTAGTAAAAAAGGCAGCAAAGCCCTTTGAGTGTTTCAGTATCGATCAGTAATAAGGGAGTAGACCATTTGGTTTATTTTTGTGTTTCAGGGAGAGAAGATAGAAGACATTCCAAAGGAAGTACTGATGGACTGTGCCCATCTAGTGAAGGCTAATAGCATTCAAGGTCAGTTTTCCTAGAGATGTTTTCAGAATTAGCCCTAATGGCTCTGTGTCTGATATGGGTTACATTTTAGAGAACATGTTATTAACTTTGGCTTGAATCAAAGGAATAACATGTAATATGCTTTTGCCTTGTTTTGTTCTTTAATATGACAGTTCTGCTACCTATCAAAGAACTAAAACCGAATTTCCCCACTTCTCTGATGTTTATGGTCCTATCTCAACTCTTTTTACCCTGTTTTCCTTGCTTCGAATAGATTGTCTTAGACCTGCCTACCCTTAAGGTTGGTTGTAGAGAGACTTTTGGAAATTAGGTTATGTTAATCGCTAAACAAGAGATGTGTCTCATGGCTCTATTTTTAATATCGTTTGATATCTTTATTTCTATTCCTTGTTATTAGATGCTAGACTCAAGTCTCCAAATCACTCTTTTCTACTTTTTCTTTCTCCTCTCCTCCCATTACATATTTTTTTCTCCTTGTAAGGTATCAAGTCAGTTGATTTTTATCTCCCAGATAATCTTATTTAATTGATCTGGGTGATTCTAATGTACAGAGAGAGTTGAAACAATTGGTGTTAAGTGTTTTAGGTAGGGCCTATAATACTGGGCTTGGTGCTTGTCTGTTTCTGCTGTACAAGCTTTAATCTGTCAGTAGTACAGGTTAAGAAAGATAGTTACTTGGGTGGAGGTGGGATTTAAAAATGGGGAACCAGCAGATGGTGATATGCTAAGATGTTTGAGTTTGTAGATTGGATTTTAGGTGTAGGACATAGACCTAGATAGGGTAAAGGTAAGTTTGGTTTGCTATGGTTTGAATAGAAAATAAGCATTGGGTAGACACATAGCCAGTACCAAGTATCAGGGATTAGTGATTCCCCCTTCACCATGACTTAGATTGTGTTTCCTGAATCTGAGGCAGCTTTTAACGAGTCAGGTACCTAGCCAAAGAAAGTGGAAGTCTTATCTGTAGAGCCAGTAATTCTCAACTCGATAAATCACTAAATTGCAATTAGTTTTGGGACATTCCATTTTTATGAGTAGAACAGAGTGTCTAAGATTTCCAGTTAAGATTTTCAGTATTGATATAAAGATAATAAAAATTAAAACCATCATTATCCTCTTTCCTTGTGTGTTGCAACCTCTTTCACATCTTCTTATCCCCTGTCAATGCCCCTAGCCAGCAGATGTGACTTTATTAAAAGAGCCTTAGACTCTATTCTTGGCCCAGCTTCTTTCTTCTTAATCTCTTTATAGTTTACTAGTTCTAGAGAAAATAGGAAAAGAGAAGACTCATGACAATTAACTCTGTCTCTTCAGCTTCCCACAGTGACAGCTCACTAGCAGAAAATGAGCGAAGCCTAAGAGTTTCACTCTCATAAGGTAATGGCAGAGAATGCTAAGGAGTGAAGATTGTCTTTGCTGTGAGATTTGCTGAGTACACTCCATTTGAGTCACTGCGGAGTTAAAATATTTTCCTCCCGGGTTGACCACCTTTAGCACTCAGAACCAAGGGAGTTGGGATTAAACTTGTTTGTCTTCATAGAATCTGACCAGCCTGTTCTGTATTCATCTTGTAATCTCTTGCCAGGTTAAACTTTTTAAAGGCTTAGCCACTTTTCGGTGACACCCCAACTTTGTGTATACAATTAAGTCCAAACTTCTTAAGCTGGCATTTAAGCATCTTTGATCTGACTACAGAATTCTTTTCCCTTCCCATATTTCATACTCTAGCCAAAGCAAATGTTTTCTGTTTTTCTACCTTGTACCTTTGCTTATACAGTCATATGTCGTTTAACAACAGGGATATGTTCTGAGAAATGCATCGTTAGGCGATTTTGTCATGCAAACATCATAAAGTGAACTTACACAAACCAAATGGTATAGCTTACTACACGTATAGCTTATTACTCTTACACTACAAACCTGTACAATGTGTTAATGGACTGAATCCTGTAGGCAGTTGTAACGTAATGGTAAGTATTTGCGTATCTAAACATATTAAAGGTATAGTAAAAAAAAACGATGTAAAGGTTAAAAAATGGTACATCCGTATAGGGTGCCTACCATGAATGGAGCTTTCAAGACTTGAATTTGCTCTGAGTGAGTCATTGAGTGAGCAGTGAATTAATTTAAAGGCCTAGGACATTACACTACTGTAGCTTTTATAAACACTGTACACTTATGCTACACTAAATTTATTTTTAAAATATTTTTCTCCAGTGTAACCATAGCTTACTGTAACTTTTTTACTTTATAAACTTTATTTTTTTTAACTTTTCAACTCTTGTAGTAACAGCTTTGCATAGCTGTATAAAAATGTTTTCTATATAACCTTATTCTGTAAGCTTTTTTGTATTTTTAATTAATTTTTTTTTACTTTTACCAAAAAAAAATTTTTTTTTTAACTTTTTGTTAAAAATAAAGACATTAATATACACATGAGCCTAGACCTACACGGGGGTCAGGATCATCAATACCACTGTCTTCCACCTCCACGTTTCGTCCCACGGGAAGGTCTTTAGGGACGATAACACATAGACCTGTCATCTCTTATAACAATACCTTCTTCAAGAATACCTCCTGAATGACCTGCCTGAGGCTCTTTTTCAGGAAGTGTCTTTCTTTTCAGAAATATGTCCATTAGTGATTTGCTCGGTTTGTTTCTTGTTTTGCATCATAGATTTACTTGTAAGCAGATAAATGCACCATGAATATTCTTCTCTGTTAATGAAAAACTTTTGGTGTTGGGGGTCCATGTTTTCTAACTTTAAGGAGTTTGCTGAGCTCTGCAAAATCTTCTGCTAAACCCTTTACTGTGAATTTTCTTGGGGGTTCTTCTTTTTCTTCTCCTGCAGTTTCCTTTTCTCTTGCCTCTTCAGCTATGTTTCTCTTCCAGTTCCAACAGCTCATTATTCGACTCCTTAGAAACCGCCTTCAAGAGCTCCTCACCCAGGTTAAAGCTGTTTGCAATTCAACTACAGCCTTTTTGATTTTTGCAGCCTCTTCCTTGGCAAATCCTTGGAAGTCACAGACAAACCTCTTAAGTGTCTTCTTCCAGATTCCATTCATACATCACTAGGTGATATGAATTTTCCAGCTCCATTATCTTATGGGACCACCGTCATATATGAAGTTCATCATTGACAGAAAGTTGTGCATCACATGACTATTGTTTTCTTTGCTCTCAGTGTTGTTCTCCTTATCAGTCATTACAAGTCCATAGCCAAGCTAAGGTTCAAGGTCCACGTAGTAATTGTAGTAATAGCTAACACTGAATTTTGATCATATGACTGGCACTGTGGTAAAAAACTTTAAAAATTATTTCATTTATCAACCTACTGAGTTAGATATTATTATTTGCATTTCATAGATGAGGAAGCAAAGCTTTTTATTATTATTTTTTTTAATTTTATTTTTTTAGGTGAGGCAACCCTTGGTTGACCTCACACATTGCAAGGACCTTGTCAGCTTACAATCTCTTATTTTTTAATTTTTACGCCTACAGCACCTAGTCTTCCTAGGTGGTCTCCCATCCAAGTACTAACCAGGCCCGACCCTGCTTAGCTTCCGAGATCAGACGGGATTGGGCTTATTCAGGGTAGCATGGCTGTAGACTGAGGAAGCAGAGCTTAAAGAGAATTAAGGAACTTGCCCAAGATCTCAGCATGCTGACATGTGGTAGAGGCTGCATATGAAGTTAGTCTGACTTTAAGGTCTTCTGTCTTACCCACTAAGCTGTATTAACCTCTCCCAGGAAACCTTTCTTCTCCTTCAGTTTAGAGTGCCCTCGCTATACTACCTTAGCACTTTACCTCTACCTTTCCAGTATTTGATGAGTTCTATTTTTAATTGAAGTTATTTATGTACTTATCTTCCTTCCTTTAGTCTTGGAAGGTAGGATCGATCCAGGTTTGTATCCTTCTTGCACATTGGAGAATTTTTAAAAACTTAATTTTGAAAATTAAATCAAGCCTACAAAAAGTTGCAAGAAAAATACAGCTCTCATACACTCTTCATTTAGAGTCAGCAATTTTTCCGTATTTCTTTGCTTTCTCTCTGTAACATACTCACTATTAACTTTTTCGGCTAAACCATTTGAAAGACTACTTTAGACATCACTAACCTTCAGTATGCCCTAAAAACAAGGACATTGTCTTAAGGAACTACGTTACAGTGATCGATGAAGGAAATTTAGCATGGATCGAAAACTGTTATCTGATGATATATAGTTCATTTGTAAGTCCCACCACTGTCCCTTCAAAGCATTTTTTTCTGATCCAGGATCATGTGTTATATTTACTTGTCGTGTCTCTCTAGACTTCTTTAATCTAGGGACACTTTTTTGTCTTTCAAGACATTGACACTTTCAGAGTGGAGAGCGATTGTAGAATATCCCACGATTTGGATTGGTCTGATGCTTCTTCTTGAGTTGGATCACATGATGAGTTTTCTAGCAGGACTGCTTCATAGGTAAAGTCTTGCCCATTGCAGTGAGTAGGCACATGGTGTCTGCCATTTGGCACCATTTCTGGTGGTATTAACTTTGATCACTTAGGTAAGGTAGTATTCATAAGACTTCAATGTCTATGATGATATAATAAACTATGAAATATAATGCCATCTAATTTTGAAGAGCCTTAAAGAGTGTTGGACCAGTGATTACACTGACTTTTTGAGCTGCTGGGGAGGCTGTCAGTGTAGAGGGGAAATGTGAGGTGGAGGTGGTGAGGGAAAAGAAGGAGGAATGAATAGGGTGCCTGGCACCCTTTTCATCCAGAGCATCTCTGCTTTGACTACTTTGATGTGTTCTCTTTGGTAAAAGAGGTTCCACTGCTAAAAGAAACAAAAAACAAAAATTCTAAACTGGTCAGATTTCCTCGTGTTTTAGATGAGATTCCAAGAGGCATGAGGACTTTCTCAAAGTGGCACAGCTGGTTTGTGGTAGAGCCAGAGTGGAATGCAGGTCTCTTGCATCCCAAGCCATGGCTTTTTGCTTTATCTTGCTGCTTAACCTTTGTTGGATCAAAGGTTCATATGAGAATCTGGGGAAACCTGGTTGGTTCTTTCCTCTTTTTTTAAAAAAGCTCACATAATAAGTTTCACATTCAGTTTTAGGGAGTCTTGGAAGTGGACCCCTGCTTTCCACCTCTTTCTTTTGCTTGAATTGCATTCGTCAGCCTTTTGTGGGTGGTTTTTTAAAAAAAGTATTTTGTGGTTTAAAACTTGATGCCTGTTCATTCGAAGCTTTTTCCTTTGTTGGATTACGGTAACTTGCCAGTGGGTAAGGGAACACTTTGCTCAGTGTCATCTGCCTGCATGTTGAAGACAGTCTCTCTTGGCAGGCTGCAAAATGAACAACATTAACGTGGTATATACACCGTGGTCTAACCTGAAGAAAACAGCGGACATGGATGTGGGGCAGATAGGCTTCCACAGGCAGAAGGATGTAAGTTTCTGCGCCACGGAGGGAGGCGGGGTCCTGCCACTGAGTGGAGTATCCATCTTTTCTAACACTTTGTTTTTGAGGGCTCAGCATCGTGTATGTTTTCTAAAGAGAATTAATCTGGGTTGCTAAGCCCCTGGAAAACTTCTCCACTGTTCTGGAGGGTAGCGGGGCAGGGCGACTCATGTAATAAACATTCAAGAGATTTTTATTATATCTCTCTCAAAGGTGAACATTGTGACAGTGGAGAAGAAAGTGAATGAGATTTTGAACCGATTAGAAAAAACAAAAATGGAGCGATTCCCAGACCTAGCAGCAGAGAAGGAATGCAGAGACCGCGAGGAGAGGAATGAGAAGAAGGCCCAAATTCAGGACATGAAAAGGAAAGAAAAGGAAGAGATGAAGAAGAAGAGGGAAATGGATGAACTTAGGTATGTTGGAGATACGGTATTATTATTGACCTCGAAGATTCTTCACTGCTGATTCTAATCAAAGGTTAACCCTTAAGATTGAGATACAGATGGAGGTTGGTACAAGCTCTGACTGTCCCTCCCTCCATCTGTGTCTCAGTCTTAAGGGTTAACCCTTGATTAAAATCAGCAGTGAATTTAATCAAGAATAGATGCTATATTAAGTGTTTAACGTTGACTAGCTATGGTATTTGAGTGCAGTTGTCTTAGCTCTAAAGTCCAGTGCTAGTAACTCTTAAAAACTGTTTTTAAAACCTCTTTTTTTACATTTTGCAAGTTTAATATAATTAATGTAGTGAGGCCTGCTTCAAAACACTGCATTTTTAAACAATAAATAGTAGTTAAAATACAGTTTGGATCCTGAAATTCTAGTGTATAAGGCCATGAGAATCCTTGACTATATTAGTTTTCTATTGCTGCCATAAAAAATTACCACAAATTTAGCTTAAAACAACATAGATCTATTATCCTACAGTTCTGTATGCTAGAAGTGTTATGTGGTTCTCACTGGGTAAGGCATCGGCTGGCCTGTGTTCCTTTCTGGATCTGTTTTCTTTTCTAGCTCCTAGAGGCTGCCTACATTTCTTGGCTTGTGACCCCTTCTTCCATCTTCAGAGCCAACAACATCGCATCTCTTTGACCTTTCCTCCATATTCATAGCCCCATCTTTGACAACAGCTTCTTTGCTTTTAGGGACCAAAAGCACAGACATTGGGCCCACCCAGATAATCCATGATAAACTCCCCCCCTAAGATCCTTACCTTAATCATATCTGCAAAGTCCATTTTTCCATACGAAGTAACATATTCATAGGTTCTGGAGATTAGCATGTAGACATCTTTTGGTGGGATCATTTTTCTGCCCACCACACTGAATCTGTATAGATGTATAATACTATACCTAAAGAGGCCCCTCGTTCTTCTTTGTAAAGGAAGGAAATTGATCCTCAGCCTTCTAGTCACATAATTCCTAGATTTTTTCCCCACCATCGTCTATTGATATCATTTCTGTTAAGTATACCAAAAAGTGGTGATGGGGGCGGGGGGTCTATTGATGTATTACTGGCTTTGGGAATGACATTGTATCAAAATGGGCTCTCTTGCCATGTCCTGACCCAGTTTCCTTGGAATACCTGAATTATTAGATCGTTGGGTCAGAATGTTGGTATTTTGATCAAGTACTGATACTTATTAGTTATCCACATACACGTGTTCCTCTTGGATATCCTACTAAAACAGGATAAGGAGCTTTACTTAAAGGATAATATTCAAATGGAGAACTCCAGGAGTGTTACCCTGAGTTATATCTGCTAACATGAGACAAAGTAATGCATAGATTTAAACATTTGATTTGATCTGGAATTGTGAGTCTGCTTTCTGTTAGAGGTGAAAGAAAAATGGTCAACTCATTGTGGTAAAACGTGTAGATTTTGGGTGATGCGGAATTTAGTTTATCCCTTTTTGTTTTTAGTGTACAGTGGAGAAAAAATTGAAAACATGCCTTTTTGTGCCCTTTACAAATCTAACATCATTTTGTTTGGAAACAATGTTATTTGTTAGAAATATAATATCACTTAATATTCTTATAAAAGTTAGTAAGAAAGAATAACATTTTTGAACACTTGTCATCTGTCAAACGCTACTGTGCTTTACCACATTATCTCATTTAATCCTAACAGCCATATGAGGTAGATATTTTTTGCACTTTGGAGAAGGGGAAGAGAAGCAGTTAAGTAACTTGCCCAAAGTTATGTGACCAGTCTCAGTCTGATTCTCAAGTTCACACACTATTACCACATTTTTCGGTCCTCCATTCAGTCTATTTAATGTTAAAGTAGTAATTATTTTTTTATAAATAAAACAAGTAATATATAGATACCATAATTTATCTTAAAATACATTATATTTTTGTTTCAAATTAAGCTATATGCTATTAAAATTTAGGAGATTTCGTGTGTTTGACTTTACTAGTTTAAAAAGTTGCAAGCATTTAAACAAATGAATCCGTACACTAAAACACAGTTTTTACATCTTCTAGACTTTCTTTATAGAATCAACAATATATAAAATATTCATATAAACTGAGGAGAAAATTTTTCATTGTTATTAAATAAAATTTTGGCTTCAAAAGTTTAATAACCATTTTCTAAGCTGTCACTTGTTGGTACATGTATATAAAAAGGAAAATATGAGTGAGATAAATTACAGATCACTTTTCTAGTCCCTGTTTTTCTACACAATTTTATCCTTCCTGCTTTATTTTTAATGAGTTATCGTCCTCAGAAAACCAAAAACAGTTGGTGTGTTTATTTCTGTGAAACATGTGCCACAAAAATGACTCACATGCTGCCGAAGGTAGAGAATGTGAAGCAGGGCTGTGGCGTGAGGAACCGATGCAGGGACCTAGCAAGGATTTGCTTGGCATGTGCAGAGCTGCTGTCTGCATGTTGTAATTCTGCAGCTTTGTGAAATTCCACAACAAACTCGAAGCTTCTGATGTTTTATAATCTGTTTTTATACATTTGTAGTGCTAGCATCACTCTCATTTCTGTTTTTGACTCTTCCACTCGAGAGATTGAATCCTATGCCTATAAAATCTATAAAATCTTATTCTAAAGTTGTTCACTTGGCTTTCTGACCATGAAAATATCATCGAATTTCACCAACAGTTGCTGCTTTTATTTGGACCATCTGATGGGGAATGTCTACTTTAGTTGCTGAGAATGCTTAAGAAATTGACTTTTGAATGGTTTGGGGAACTCCACACATGAACCAAGAAGATATTCTTATCTTGGACAGTATCCCCAGTGTTTCTAGATGATTTCAGTGAAAAAGTTAGCCCATATCCAGGAGAGCTACATTCCAACTTCTTTCCAGTTTGAAAGTCATTATTTAGAATCTAGACTCCTTTTTAGCCTCAACTTTTAGAACAAGAATGGCAGTAAGCTTGTCATTTCTAATTTCTTCCAGGAGGAAAAACTGGATGGAAGTGCTTTTGTATAATCCAAGTTCTTTGAGCTCCAGTCAGGGCCATATCCATCAGCCCTCTGCTTAGGAGTGAATAGAACAAAGCCCACAACAGAGAAGGCTCTGCATTCCTTCTGTGGTGAAAATAGTAGTCGCCCTTGCAGCTGGGGCTCCATCTTGTTCTTGCAAATAAGCACTTTACTCCTTGAGCTTAGTGTGCAGAAATTTTAGTGATCTGATCATGTAAATAAGAATACATAAAGCTCGTCCTTTTAGGTAGTTTATAGAAATATTTGAATTATTAGGAGGGTACCAGAGCGTGAAGGCTAGATAGTAGCAGTATATCAGTACCTTCTATTAACAATTTATTCATTTAAACAATAATGAAAATTTCCCCTTTCTTAGAATTCACAAATTCTCACCTATCCATCCTGTTCATTAGCTCTTTAGACAGTTTTTGTAGCTCACACTTGCCCTCTCAGTCTAGGGTCTAATGGGATTTTAGTTTAAAGAATCTTTGTATGGGGTTAGGTGTAGGGAGGAAGCCTCACATATTGCTTTCTTTCTATGCACTGTAGGCCATACATAGAATAAGAGAAAAGAGCAAAAGAGATTCAACACAGATTTTGAAAGCAGTCTTAGAAATGACCTTGCCTGGAGAATTAGAAAAGCACATCTTCCACTCAGTCTTCATTTTACAGGGGTTTTAGAGAGTGGACATTTGGAGAAGTCCTTTAGGCTGTTTCCCATGGACACTGTCCTTCTTGACATGCGAGGGAAGAGTGTCCATGGTGCTCCCTTCAGTGTGTCGTAAGAACACTGTTCATCTCATTAGTTGAATTCATGGTATAAACAAAAGTTCAGAGAATCCTTTTGAGAAATCCAAAGAGTTTTTCAGCTAATGACTTACAGACCAGGGAACATAGCCCTTGGTATGAACCAAGAATACACTTCAAAATGGGGGCAGATAGGGCTAGGTTTTTAAAAGGCAGAAATTGCAAGGAACTGATTAAAGAGATGGGTTGCCAGGGGAAACAAGACCACAAACTTACATCATTCTGATTGTTTGGGGCAACTGAATTTTCAACGGCTGGCTGACTCAGTGGTCAAACAAGTGAGGTGGTGAGATGAGAACAGTGGGTAATATATGATTAAGCATTTATCAGTGTCCTAGTTCCAGCCCAGGCCTGTAGAACAAAAGGGTTTTTTTGGTCACACAGTTACAGTACAGAGAGTATTATTTATTGACAATGCAAAGAGTACGACTTATCAAAGAGTACAATCAGCATGTGGGGGGGTGGTGAGAGGGGGCTGCTCGCTCTGCAGGAGGTTTCGGAGACCAAAAGGGCAAAGTTATGCCTTGCAAGCAGCTTCAGAGCTCAAACTGTAAAAAGCTAAATGTCGGGTCACAAGTTATGATATTAAAGTTCTTATCAGTCCTCAATGGTTACATCCAGTGATGTAATTTAAAAGCTTACCTGCTCTATTTTAATTTTGTATTCTCTT